AACACCTGGGGCATGGTGAAGAAGACGGTACAGACGCCTGACACCTGAGAATGTCTTTCTTGCCATGTTAGTGGTATTCATCTGTATGGTAATATTACCTGGGACAAATGTGGAAGTGTTTAGGACTTATGTTCCTGACCCTTTATGGGTAAAAGCCCTTATGTGGGCTGATCCCTTGCCTAATGTAGTCACCAATAATACTAAACACCTTGGTCATCCAGGAAGAAAATGGGTGGGGCAAGGAAGTATAATTACACAGGGGTCTCCACCCAGCTTCCCTTTTTGTATGACCCAAAATCAAACCAATGCTCCTTTGTGTGTAAAAAATTAAAGAGAGGTTTCTGGCTTGCACCAAAGTAGAGGAATATCACTACTTGCTCCTGGGAGAGGTGCAGAGAATGTAACTAAGACCTTGTCTATACAAAAAGAAATTGACAGCCAGTTTGAATTTGAATTGCCATTGGCTTAGAACAAAGAATATCCTTGCATGGTATTACTCTACAATGTCATTTATAATTTTTGATATTTTACAACAGCATATTGTACAATTATTCCAAACAAAATTAAAAATCTAATTTTTGAATGTTTGGCAGCAATTTAAAAGGACATGAAAGGATTTAATTCCTTCCATTGTGTGGAAAGCCTCACTGGGAAATCCAATTGCCCACAGCTGTTGCTTGAGTTTTCAATTCATGCTGAGGTTAAAGTCTCATGGTGGCTGGTACCATGGATCCGTCTCTCGCACAATGGCGTGAGCTGGGCCCTCCCTGGAGAAGAAACCTGGGTTCCCCAAGATATGTGATCAATGTTGGGGCCCCGCCAGCAGGCGAGGGGATCCCGAGGCAGGTACTGGGCATGGAGGCCATAGGGGCATATGCTACTAAGGAGACAGAACTGAACCTCACATCACCCTGCTTGGCCCCGGAGGATGGCTGGTTAGCCAATGACGGGTAAGATTCCTCAAGGGAGGGACAATCTAATACAGGCACAGCCGCAAAGGGCCATCAGGAGACGACTTGGGGGCCAACAGAGGTGGGGCACAGATCCTCACCCCCCCCAATGCTGTAGGGGCTTGAACACTCGCCCTTATGAGGGATGTCTCCTGCCTCATGGCTGCTTCACGCTTCCCATACCCAGTTCAGATTGGGACTCAGGCTACAAACAAGAGACTTGGCACAGCTCATATTGAGACCCAAGCAGCAGAGAAGTGGCTGATGGCGACTGTCCTATATCTAAATTTAGCCTAAATCTAGGAGTGCTCAGGGCTTTCTCAAGGATGCATATAATTTTTTCCATTAATTTTTACAGAGTAATTACTAAAATTGTTGTTAAAGTATTAAATTTGACAGTATAATAGTCAAGTTTTCAAATTAATTTAAATTGGCTAAATGAAATGAGTTAATATTCAAGAAAATTTAATTGTACAACAGGCTGTTCCTAAAGTATTAACCAAAATTTCTATTGGTAGTCCATTTCATGGTAAAATTGTTTAACATACAATAAACCCTAAAGCAGTCATAGATTTTGTACAAAAAAATTAAAATATAAAAGTTATCAAACAGCATTATAAAAATTTTTTCCCAAAAGCCTCCTAATTATTAAATAGAAAAAAGGGGGATAGTGGAAAAATACCATGTAAGAAAAAAATGTCCTCTAAGTAAATTACATCTAGAAAAATTTTTCTTCTTTTGAAAACCAATTTTCATTTGTAATGATAACAGTAAGACAGCCAAGAAAAACACACATTGTATCAAAATAAGTCAAAGAAAAATTGTTTGAGCAAAAAATTAAAAGTATCCCAAGTAAAATTTATAGAAAAGATTCTTTATTAATTTTGGTCGAGATATGTTTGTATATTTTCAGAAAACTCCAAGACGATGTGGATTCCTGCAACAGAGGAATTAGCAGGAATGCTCCAGCCATGAAGACAAGAGAAGAAACAGCCCAGACATGGAGGACGCTGACGACACCTTGCCATGCCAGCAGTCAGCAGCTGTGTGTTGCTGCAGGTTGTCCAGGACCAAACCAGAGAAGTCAGATCTGTATCGCCACCATTTGTCCACCATCCAGATATCATTGGTGACATGTACACATGAAGAACTTTTGGACATTGAAACTTGGACTTAGAACTCTTGAACTTTGAAATTGGGACTCAAACAATTTTTGTTCTTATATGTTTATTCCTGGTACGGAAATGCAAGATTTTTTAAAGTAAGGAATTGGGGGGAGACGCTGGGAACCGAAACCTAACATTATTACTGGAGATAAAATGTAAAAAGATTATCACTAGAGATAAAATGTAAAAAGAGCTAGCGGACCTTGAAGGCCTGAAGGGTCAGAGCTATTAACTCCTTGTCTAGTTGAGATAGTGGTGCTTGAGGCAACTTTAATTTGTTAATCATATGTAAATGTAAGTTGATTTTCTGTTGTTGGAACTTCCTTAAGAGAGGTCTTTGTTTCAGAATCTCAATAAAAGGAATGATAAAAGGCCGGAGAGCGGAGAGCGGTTAGTCTTCCCACTAGAGGTGCACTTCCCTCCTGGCCCCCATTTTCCCAAATTAACTCTTCCAGTCTCTCTCTTCATTTTAGTGTGCGGCCTTCTCCAGAAGCCGGACCCTGAGTGGGCCCTGAACCACTCGGGTCGTGTTAAGGGATCACAGCATATTATGCTTTTATTTTATATATATATATATATTTTGTAATGGATTGAGGATCACTCTTTTTTTAAAAATATATTTTATTGATTTTACACAGAGAGGAATTGAGAGGGACAGAGAATTAGAAACATCAATGAGAGAGAATCATCGATCAGCTGCCTCTTGCACACCCCCTACTGGGGATGCGCCCGCAACCAAGGTACATGCCCTTGACCGGAATCGAACCCGGGACCCTTCAGTCCGCAGGGCAACGCTCTATCTGCTGAGCCAAACCGGTCCCGGCTAAAATTTTATTGATTAAAGTATCATATATTTGTCCTCAACTCCCCATTCCAAACCCCCCCCCCCACACACACACACTCATGCCCCTACCACCCTATTGTCTTCGATCACTGGTTAGGCTCATATGTGTGCACATAAGTCCTTTGGTTGATCTCTCCCTTTTATGCCACCCTCCCTTTGAGGTCCAACAGTCTGACCCATGGCTCCTTATCTCTGGGTCTGTTCTTGTTCATCAGTCTATGTTGTTCACCATTTCCCCTAGATGACTAAGATCATGTCCTACTGGAAATATACTTATAAGAATAAACAATGAGACAAACAATATATTATAGATACTTTTTAATGGATTTCAGAGAGGAAGAGAAGAGAAACATCAACGATGAGAATAATTGATCGGCTGCTTCTTCCATGCCCCACACTGGGGATCGAGCCTGTGACCAGGGCATGTGCCCTGGCTGAGAATCGAACTGTGACCTCCTGGTTCATAGGTCCTTGCTCAACCACTAAGCTACACCAGCCGGGCAAAAATGGCGTTCTTAACCACTCTGGGATCCTAGAGTCATGAGAAACTAATGAAATCCAAAGCTCCTCTCTCCTAAAACACAGAGGTGCCATCACACACAGCGACACACCGAAAGTCAAGAAGTCAAATCCAGACCAAGAACGCTTGTGCCAACGTGTGCTCTCCCCAAGGATGCCTGCTTTGGTTCTGACATAAAACTCCTGCTTCTCAGTGAGGCTGGCCATCGGGAAAGAGAAATAGGTAAGTGTCAACATGGGCCTACCCCTAGCTGGCCTTTCTCACAAATTTAAGAGAGTGCCCGTTAACTGCTGGGAGAAAAATCAAGAGAGGGGGAGGCGACAGGACCACCTACAAATGATCTGCTCTTTCATTTGTTCCACAAAAACTTACTGCATCCCTAATACGTGCCGGGGACCGCCCTTTCAACCTTCTTCTTGTGCCCCTACTTACCCATTCCAAGCTGCACCCCTGGATTGCAATTGTGGGTTCACAGGTTTGTCTTCCCTTCTGCCCCACCCACCCCATCGCCCCAGTCCCAAGACCAGAGTGGGATCCTGCCTTCCACTGGTACCCTGATATTCCTGGGACCGGCACAAGGTAACGTGACAGCCAGCGCTGAGCGCCCCCAGGCCGGGCTGCGTCCCTCTGATCTCAAAAATGGCCTTCTGCCATTCACTGAGCACTTAATCGGCGGGCAGTGGGGGCCAGTGGAACCCACAACTGAGCGCAGCCCGACGCGATGGGCCCGAGAGGGTGCGGGAGGGTGCGGGGAGGGGGGAGGGGGTGCGGGGGGGGGAGGCATGGGTGCTGGCGGCCCAGGCCGGGGCGGGGTGGGAGGGGCAGGTTTAAATGGCTGGAGCCGGAAAAACACCTCCAGAGCCGCCTCACGTCGGGCAACTGTCCAGGCCGGGGCTAAAAGAGTTTTTGCTTCAGGACTGGGGGTTGCTGGGGGTGACAGCCTTTGGGGGTTACCCTAGCCCCGAGAAATAAGCTCACAGAGGTGGCGGGAGCCCCTGCCTGGAGGGGCGGACCGCCCTCCAAGGACCCCCAGCTGGTGGGGGGACCCCCCCCCGATGCCAGGTGTGTGTCCCCCACGCCACGCCGTCACTCACCCTCCCGATGGGGCGCCCCACGGCACGCGCGCCAACCAGCCAACCGCAGCTGCCAGGCCGCCGCGGAGCCCAGGCGAAGGGGGCGGGACGGCGGCGCCGGAGTCTGTTGCTAAGGGGCGGGTCCTGCGGAGTCTGTTGCTAAGGGGGCGGGGCCAGAGGGCGGAAGCCAGCCCAGCGGGCGACAGGAAGCCCCGCCCCCAACATGGCCGCGCCCGGCGGTCTAGTAATTTGGAGCCGCTCCACCGCCAAGTCCGGTGACGCGGTCCGTCGCCCCACCCGTCGGCAGCCACTCCCTGTCTCGGTCGCCGAACTCGAGAGGGACACGTGACCCTGCGGGGGCAAGTCACGTGAGGCGCAGGCCGGGTGGGAGGGGGTTGGCCCTGGGGGTCCGGAGCGGCAGCAAAAAAAAAAGAAAAAAAGAGGAAGATGGCGGGGTGCAGGGGGTCCTGGTGCTGCTGCTGCAGATGGTGCTGCTGCTGCGGGGAGCGGGAAAGCCGGACGCCCGAGGAGCTGGTGAGGCGGGGGCTGGGGGCCGGGCCGGGCTGTTGCTAAGGGACCGGGAGAGGCGTCGCCGGAGGTGGGGCCGGGCCGAGCCGGGCCCGCAGGTGGCAGCGTGTGCGGGCGGGCACCGCATCCCGGGCTCTGGCACCATCTGCCCTGCTTCCCGTGCCCAAGTCTGGAGTCCTATTCTCATAACTCCCCCCAGGAATCCAAGGGAATCCAGGCCAGCTTCAGTTAATCCCGTAGGTTTTGTGTGTTTTTTTAAATTTCCATCAGAAAGGAGTTGAGCGAAACGGGCATTTTTGGAATGAGCCTTTCATGCGCTGGCTGAGGTTCTCCAGTCCTTTTCTCTCTCCATCCCTAAGCCTTTCGGGGTCATGGACAAGCCAGCTTTTCCCAGCAAAGCATCCTGGGAAAACTGGAGATGCTGTGTCCCCAAAGTTGACAGGTCTCTTCTGATTTCAGATAGGGCACCGTATCAGACAGATCTGGATTCCCTCTCTTCCCCCCCCACCCCCCCTTAAGCTGGCAGTGGGCATCTTGGACGTGTCCTGAAGACAAGAGTGATTATTTGGAGAATGTCAGTAGAGATGAAAAGCTCAGCTGAGTCCTCACCCTGTTCCAAAAGGGTTTTGTGTTTTTGTGGGGTTTTTTTTTTGCGATCTTGTTCCCATTGGTGACAATGGTTCTAGACAATTTAGAAACTAGCAACAGATGTCGGTAAACACTTCTGCCTCCTTTTCCTTTTAACCACTAAAAGGCTCTCCCTTCTGTGGATCTGTTTTTCTAGACCATCCTTGGAGAGACACAGGAGGAGGAGGATGAGATCCTGCCAAGGAAAGACTATGAGGTGAGCTTCTCTGCTGCTCTCTTGGTAACAAAAGCAGGGACTGAGCTGGGCCCCTGAGACAGAAGCATTAGGATGTCAACCAAGGGAGTGAGAGGTACCTTCCCTCCGGGAAAGGGGCTGTTTAACAAGCCCCATCCCCTTCTTAGATATATTCTTATTGATTTCTCCCCTCTTAGTAACAATTTTTGAATCACTAGATACTTTTCTACATTATATTTTTGATTAGGGAAATACCATTTTATTGTGCCATAGTCTTTTGTTTGTTTTAATTTTTTTTAAGAAGGAGAGAGAAAGAAAGCGATAAAGAAACATCAATTTGTTGTTCAACTTATTTCATGCATTTATTGGTTGATGATTGTATGTGCCCTCACTGGAATTGAACCTGCATCTTGTCGTATTGGGACGACACTGTAACCAGCTGAGCCTCCCAGCCAGAGTAACCGACTTTTCTGTTTGATGAACTGCATGGTGACATCCCTTCTTGTTCAACATTAAATGCTTCCTTAGGATTAATTCCAAGAAGTAGAATTAATCATGTGTATGTGTAATGCTTTTTTTTAAAAAATGTCATGTAGCCAAAACTGGTTTGGCTCAGTGGATAGAGCGTCAGCCTGCGGACTGAAAGGTCCTAGGTTCAATTCTGGTCAAGGGCATGTACCTTGATTGAGGGCACATTCCCAATGGGGTGTGCAAGAGGCTGCTGATCGATGATTCTCTCTCGTCGATGTGTCTAACTCTCTATCCCTCTCTCTTCCCCTCTGTAAAAAAATCAATAAAATATATATATTTAAAAAAAATTTTTTTAAATGTCATGTAGATTTTAAAAATTCATAATCTAGGGCAATAATCTACTCAGACTAATTTTCTTAGTATTTCATCTTACTTTTACTGCAGAATTTGGTGTAACTATCATGACTGGTCATGCAGCATGAAAATTTTAAAAGCTTTTGTTACAGACAGCCTCAAGCATCCACCAAAAGGGTCAGAGCAGTGTATTGAAACCCCTTGTCTTCAGCAGTCGTTCGCCTTCTGTGTATCATGTGAATGATATACTAGCTCCCATCCACTGCCCTGTCCGTGGAGAGTAAATACGGCAGGAGGCTTCTCTGGGACTAAGTGACAGGGTTTTATTAAAGGGCTTTAAGATTTGCAAATCAGAAACACCCAGTGTGTTCTGAAGAAAAAAAGTTGAGAGTTTTTACAATTAAAAAGTACATTCTTAAGAAAAATCAGTCCTGTGTTCTTGGTTTCTGGATTGGTCCGAGATGGTGATCTTCCAGATGTCAGGCAGTCGATACATTCTTTCCAGAGTTCTGCAAAGGCTGAGCTACAGGACTTACATATTTCTCCAGGCACTGATGCACAACTGCAAAGTTCCAAACTTTTAAGTCCTTAAGTTCAATTCCCGGTAGGGCATGTAGGAGGCAAGCGGATCGATGTTCCACTCTCACATACATGTTTCTTCCTCCCCACTCCTCTTCTCTTCCCTTTACACTCCCTCTCCCTTCCTTCCCTCTGCCCCTCCCCCTCTTCCAAAATTAATAAACTATTCTTCAAAGAAATTTTTTTAATAGAGGGTGTATTTATTTTTATTTTTTTAAAAATATATTTTATTGATTTTTTACAGAGGAAGGGGGAAAGATAGAGAGCTAGAAATGTCGATGAGTGAGAAATGTTGACCAGCTGCCTCTTGCACACCCCCTACCAGGGATGTGCCCGCAACCAAGGTACATGCCCCTGACTGGAATCAAACACGGGATCTTTCAGTCCACAGACCGACGCTCTACCACTGAGCCAAACCGGTTTCGGCTCAAAGAAAATTTTTAAAGTGTTATTCCCCCGAATCAAAGAGCAACATACACAGCAAAAATAAAAGGAAGTTAGTTATGGTAGAGAAGTGACAGCTCTGGCTGATGTAATTCTGTGGTTAGAGTGTCAGCTGGAGCACAGAAGGGTTTTGGGTTTAATTCCAGTCAAAGGCACAAATCTGAGTTGCAGGTTTGATCCCAGGGCATGGTGAGGCATGTGTAGAAGGTAGCCAACCAATGTGTCTCTCTCACATAACTTTCTCTCTTCACCCTGCCTTCTCCTCCTCTCTGTACCTCCCCCCTCCCCCCCCTTCCATTATCTGGAAATCAATGGAAGAAATATCCTCGGGTGAGGATTAACCAGAGAGAGAGAGAGAGAGAGAGAGAGAGAGAGAGAGAGAAAAGTGACAGTATCTGATTTTAACAGATCCTATATAGTTTATTGATGTATATTTACAGTGTTAGGCTCTCAGCTGATTTATTTAAAAAAAAAAAAAGAAAAGAAAAGATTAATATTCTGGCATTGCATTTGTTTCTAAATGCCCCTTTAAATAGCTTTAGTCAGGGTTAGGGATAGTATATAATTCACAAGATATAAAATTTACCTATTGTGTACAACTCAGTGGTGTGTTTAGTATATTCAGAGTTGTGCAGCCCTCATCAAATCAATTTCAGAACATTTTTGTCACTTGGAGAGAAACCCCAGACCCATTAGCAGAGTCACTGCCCATTGTTCTTGTCCCAGACCCTAGGCAACCACTAATCTACTTCCTGTTGCCTCTTCTGGGCCTCTGAAAACCTTCTCATTGTTTGTGGAATCATAACATTATTAGGCAAAACCATCAAGCAAATAATTAATTGGCCAGTCATTTCTATAAATATTTGGTATGAAGAAATTCATATTTTTCAACATTTTAACTTTTTTTCTGTTTGTTTCTAAAATGTGATGTCACTAACTTGATTAAAATATATATACACATATATAAATATATACTTAATCACTCATGGATGGGTCTAGTTTCTCAGCAGAATTTTTCACTGTGGCTTTTTTATATACATATTAGAGGCGCAGCGCACAAAATTCGCGTGTGATCAGGGCCATCTTTCCCAGTTGCCCACAGCCGGTGATTGGTGCCTGACGGCAGGGGGAAGGGACCAAGAGCTGGTCAGTGCACCTCATAGTGACTGGTCTAGTGGTCGTTCTGTCATTCTGCCATTAGGGTCAATTTGCATATTACCCTTTTATTATATAGGATAGAGGCCTGGTGCACAGGTGGGGACCGGATCCTGCACTGAAGGGGTCCCCAGATTGGGGTGGGGGTCCCAGCTGGGGCATGACCAGCCTGAGCAAGGGGCCTCGGGCAGTTTGCAGGCCATCCACACCCCCATCAGGGCAGGGGTTCCTGCTGGGAGGTGAGACTAGCCTGGGCGAGGGGCTGTGGTTGGTTTGCAGGCCAGCCATGCCCCTGGCTTTGTCAGGAAGGACGTCCAGAAGACATCTGGTCTATCCAGTCCAATTAGCATATTACCCTTTTATTATAGATATCTTTTTATTGATTTCGGAGAGGAAGGGAGAGGGAGAGAGATGAAACATCAATGATGAGAGCAAATCATTGATCGGCTGCCTCCTGCACGCCCCCTACTAGGGATCGAGCCCACAACCCAGGCATCTTGAATCCCAGACCTTTCCACTGAGCCAAACCACAGTTCTGATGTGGTTTTTTTGTAATCAGAGAAAATGTCTATTTTTTTTGTAATCAGAAAAAATTTTCCCCCCAGATATAAAAAGTACCATGTTTGCTCTGAAATTTTCAAACAATATCCAGATGTGAAGACACCTCCTAGACTATCCATTGTTATAGCCATTGTTAACAGTTTTCCCAGATGTTTTTGCTTTATGTATGCTGACACAAAAAATATTAATTTTATTTACTCAAAAAGGGATCATATACCACATTATAACTTTTTCACTCACCTGTCCCTCTTGCAGAGTTTGGATTACGATCGCTGTATCAATGACCCTTACCTGGAAGTTTTGGAGACCATGGATAATAAGGTGAGTCCCGTATTGATCTCTTGGGACTGAGGACGTCTTATGACAGTTCCTTTACCTTTGCCCCTTGTCCTTTTAACCCTCATGAGACAGCAGCATTTATCCCTTAGACTACTTCCTCCTGCCAACCTGAGTACCCCCTGACCCAACCTGTTAGAGTCAATCATTCTTGCATTATAAAGCACCCTCCATATCAGACATCATCTTTGACATTTTTGCTGTCCTTGTGAAATTCACTCTGAAACTGGTTGGCCAAGATGTGTTCCTTCCCTGATGCCAACATAATCCTGAAACAAACTGAGTCATTTTTTCCTTTGTGAACAGAAAGGTCGCAGGTATGAGGCGGTGAAGTGGATGATGGTGTTTGCCATTGGACTCTGCACGGGTTTGGTGAGCAGGCGGGGCATGAGGGAGTAGCGGGCCCGAGGGCTGGAGTGAGTCAGAGGTCAAGCTCCAGCCTGACAAATAAGTTGTTTGTCATAACAGGGACCGCCTTGTCTTTTTTCTCCTTTCATTTCTTAATAATCTGACACTCTCTTATACTTTATAAAATGAAAGCAAATCATACAACTTCGGTGTTCTTTAACACACTCAAAGGTTTGGTCCAGTTCTCTTAGATAAGCTGTGGTCCTGTCAGGTAGACAACATGGAGTGGAGAGCACTCAGTTGAGTCACTCTGTAGGGGAAAAGCAAAGTAATGGGAACAAAACTGTAAAGATTTGTTCTTTTAGCACAGCCACCAGGATATGCTGTCCTGGGCCTCTTCCCTGCACATTGCTCATTTTTTCTAGAAGGTGGAGCTGGCAGTTGTGGGCAGAGGAATACACCTGAATGCACAGGGTTCTGAGGTCAGCACATTCACACACCAATCACCGACAAGAAAAGATTATGAAACATTGCCAAAGATGATAGTAGCACAAAGTCTGGAACCATAGCTGCTGATGTACCGTGGTAAAACCTGGCAAAGAAAAGCTGGGGAAGGTAGCAGCCAGTCCAAATAAGACATGTTCAGTCTGATTCTCCATCATTGCAGTGTTAACTAGGGGTTGTCTTGGCCATTTAGGCTGCTATCACAAAAATACCATAGACTAGATGGCTTGAAACACATTTATTTCTCACAATTCTGGGGACTAGAAGTTCAAGATCTAGGGCCAACAGATTGGTGTCTGGTGAGGATCTGTTTTCCAGTTCAGAGATAACCATCTTTTTGCTCTGTCCTCACATGGCAGAAGGGAGCAAGAGAGCTCTCTGGCTGGGGTCTCTCTCTTTAATCATGATAAATGTGGTATATAAGATAATACATAGTTTAAGTATATTATAGTTCAACTAGAGGCCCAGTGCATGAAATTCATGCACTCTGGGGGGGTTGTCCCTCAGCCCCTTCCCCATCAGGCTTAAGCTGGCAGTCGGACATCCTTAGTGCTACCCCAGAGGCGGGAGATGCTGGCCTGACTTATGGCTGAGTGGCGCTCTCCCTGTGGAGTACACTGACCACCAGGGGGTCTTAGTAACCAGTCATTCTGCTGTTGGCCTAAAGCCAGCTTTCCAACATCCCGTGAGGGGTCCTGGATTGCAGAGGGCGCAGGCCAGGCTGAGGGACCCCACTGGTGCACGAGTGGGGCCGGGGAGGGACACAGGAGGACTCCAGGGCGTGTCCATTCATCTTGCTCAGTCCCTGTCGGCTTAGTACCAGTAGCAAGCTAACCTACCGGTCTGAGCGTCTGCCCCCAGGTGGTCAATGCATGTCATAGCGACTGGTCGACCGGTCGACTATCTGCCCTCTGGTGGTCAGTGCAGATCATAGTGAATGCTTGGTTGCCCTTAGCATATCATTTGCATATTATACTTTGAATGGCCAGGTGGCTAGACACTTAGCACATTAGGCTTTTAATATATAGGATAATGTATATACTACATAGTGTTTATTACTATAAGTCTAGTAACCCTCTCACCATATGGTTGATACCATACTCACAGTTGATCCCCTTCACCTATTCTGCACTCCCCCAGTTCCTTTTCCCTCTTGGGGTCTCTTTATAAGGGTTCTAATCCTATTCATGAGGGCTCCTCCCTCATGGCCTTATCACCTTCCAAAAGCCATCATGTTGGGGGTTAGGCTTTCAACATGAATTTGGGGTGTGGGGCAAACACAAACATTCATTCAGTCCATAATAAGGGACATATAAATTCCCAAGCAGCAGCCTGTTTATCATCTTTCCCTAGAATTGACCACACGTCTCATACTTAAGTCTACGTGATATACCCATGAGATGTAAACGTGTTTTTAATATAATATAGCCACAAGGGCTGACCATAGTTTTTGTTTCCATGGCACTTGTCCAGTTTTTACTGTAGTAAATTGGAGGTCAAGGAACATCTGAGTAGTTAAGACTAATGGCACTTAGAGGCCTGTTTGGTAACATTCTGATGGATACCAGTGTGGGGCAACTTGGGTGGATTTAATTTTATGGAAATTTCAGAGTATAAATTTTTCTATGTATGGTTCTGATTGCAAATTTCCCTGTAATAGGCACAGTCATTAGCTATCTAGTTGTTAGTCTTTCTGTCACTTTCATATCAAACTCCTTTGAACTGCCGCTTATCAATACTAATAGCTTTACCTCCCACCCTCGTGTTAAAGGAGGGCAGACCTGCCTTTATAACGTGCTACCTGTTCCCCTTGCTACTGGCTCTCTTGTCCTTTGATCTATCACCACTTACTGCTTTAATGTTTAAAAGCCTCGGCATTGGCTTGAAGGAAGTCTGGAGTTAAAGGCATGAATCCTTTGATCCTGAATCTACAAAACCAGAAGTCTTCCCAGTTCTCCTTTAAGCCCAGAGCAGGGACTTATGAGAGTGGAAGAGTGGTTTACCAGGGTAACCATTAACTATATAAGACAGTCATAAGTCAAAGTAGTAGCTTATGTAAAATAGAAATAACCAACTTGCAAAACCCACATACCTCTAAGTGCATGTTGTCGTACAAGTAATTTAAGCTAGCCCAGAGCAGATCGGCTCAGTGGGTTGGAGCATCATCCCATACACCTGAAGATGGGCTCCATTCCCAGTCAGGGCGCTTACCCAGGTTGTGGGTTCAATCCTGGTCAGGGCCCATATGGGAGGCAGCTGATAGATGTTTCTCACATCAGTGTTTCTCTCTCTCTAAAATCAACTTAAAAGTTTGCTGTTTTTCAAAGTCATCTAAGCTCTGTGCTCATCTAGCTGAGCATCACTGAGACACAGGGGTCTTCCTTGGCCTCATATCTTTTCTGTATAACCTTCTCTCGTTGTTCTACTTTGCTCCTCTTATTATAGCTGTCTCCATTCTTTGGTTCTCTAGTGGGCGGTGGGGCATGGCTGGAGCAGGGCCTTCTGGAGAGCCAGAGTGACTAACAAAAGCCCCTTCACCCACTGCTGGTTGATAACGCAGGTGTGCGTGCCCAGCTGGTGTGCGTGCCCAGTAGCGTGAATGCAGTGGGGGAGGTCTGCTTCTGAGGGCAGTGCCTATGACACCGCCAGGAAGCTGTGACTGACGGCTCTTTGCTCTTCCCAGGTGGGTCTCTTTGTGGACTTCTTTGTGCGCCTCTTCACGCAGCTCAAGTTCGGAGTGGTGCAGACCTGTATCCTTTCCACGGTTGCTGATTTTGCTTTCTTATCTAGAAATGAGTTTAACAGTACACATGATCTGCGGAGAGCTATTATTAGCCATTCGGCTTTCTGGTGTTTATCATTGAAAGACACAAAAGGAACACAGGAATAAGTCAAGAGATACTTTCATGGTTGGTAAGACACAAACCAGCAAGATGCCTGCTTTCCTCAGTCAATCGATACTAGTAAATTCAGTGTAGTTTCAGTGAAAATGCAATAGAATCGTTCATAGAACTTGAACATTCTCTTCCTAAGTTTGTTTGGAAGAGTCAAGAGCCAAAAGTAGTTGAGGTAGTTTTGAATAAGCAGGGGACTTATATAATTTAAGATATAGTCTTTGGAACAGTGTCACATTGGTCCAGAAACACCCAGTTAGACAGTGGGAAATAGTGAAGAAGCAGAAACTGGCCTGTAGGGGCGTAGAAGTGCCGTGAATGGCGGAGCCCGGGTGATAATCGGTGAGGATAAAAATGGGTCATTTACTAAAAGATGCGGGAACATTGGTTAACCATCTGGAAAAACATATAATTAGATTCCTACTTTGTACTAGAAATTAATTCTGGATGGTTTAAAGAGGTAAATAGGCAAAGTGAAACGTTAAGAGACTGTATGATGTAAAGAGTAGGGAATCGACTCTGGCTGGTGTGCTCAGTGGTTAGAATGTTGGCCCTAGCACTGAAGGGTCTCGGGTTCGATTCCCAATCAAGGGCACGTTGCCTGAGTTTCAGGTTCCATCTCTGGCCCTGGTAGGGGCTCAGGCAGGAGGCAACCAATCAGTGTGTCTCTCCCATCAAGAGAGTTCAGAAGGTCTTATTTTCCATATCTTTATTTCTGAGTAGACTGTAACAACATGAAATCTTGCATATAAGAAGATAGCTTTAACACACACACACACAGAAACAAGCAATCAAAAACCCCTGCAGTGAATAAATGAATACTCTGAAAAGGGTGGACTGGGACATGAGCCTTAGAATCTTCTCTCACACTAACCCAGCCCAGCAAATGGGCTCTGAGTGGCACAAAGCCCAAACAGCAGAGACAGAGGATTCCTTATGTTCATAAAACAGTGAAGAGCAAACTAAGTCCCCCAGAGGAGAAAGCAAGCAGAGAACATCAGTAACCCAGTTACATTACAGATAAGAACTTTAGGAGTTCCCAGTGGCTGCTGCCTTGAGAGGGAGAGCAGGAAGGGTCCCCAAGGCTAAGAATTCTTGGCAGCTGCTAGAAAGTTCCTGCAATCCCTGCCACAGGTCAGCCTGCCACGGGCAGCTGGAGTCCCTAGCAAAATAGGACATGTCCCATCTTTAAACAAATTAAACCAAACAAAGACACAAAACAACAGCAGAGACACACTATGTACAATGTTTACAGGTGTGCCCAGCCCACAGATACACCGTGCTCCTTGTCTGTCCAGCCACAGAAACCTCAGAATGCCCCGCGTTTAAACCTGGCCAAGGCAGAGCAATGTCTCATCCCAGAGTGGATCAGACTGAGGGCTCAGAGACCTGGCAAGGACCGCTGGAGGTCCATTGCCGTCAGGAGCTGATCAGGCTCACCCAGGGGAGAAGCAGTAAAATGCCTCCTGTGCCATACACAGTGCTGCCTTATGCAGTACATGCATCCTTACAAGGAAGCCCAGACTGGAGGCAGCCACTGCTTCTTGTAAAACGTGCTTGATTCCGCCTCCCAAAACGCTTGGTTCAACTTAGGTCTCAGGTGAGACGACGGGGCTTACTGAGCCTGAAACTCAAAATGAACAGCCCTGGCAGCGCTGCAAATAAGAGTCCGGGCCTCAGCCTAGGAACCCGCAGTCCAGGCAGCAAGCGTATTCACTCCAGAGGAGTCTCTTGCTTACGTCCCTTCCTGGTTGCCAGAATATGCAGCCGGACAATCGGTGGGTCCGGGCTGCCTGTCACTACTTGAGCCAATTAGGCAGAGACAGGGTTGAATCATACATGAGCGTTTATTCAATACCACCAGTATTATGGGAGAGCAGCAGGTCATCATCCACAAACATCTGCGCTCTCACTGTTTTGATTTTTTTTTAAAAAATATATTGATTTTTTACAGAGAGGAAAGGAGAAGGATAGAGAGGTAGAAACATCTATGAGAAAGAAACATCAATCAGCTGCCCCCGCCACACCCCCTACTGGAGATGTGCCTGCAACCAAGGTACATGCCCTTGACTGGACTCGAACCTGGGACCCTTGAGTCTGCAGGCTAACACTCTATCCACTGAGCCAAACCAGTTAGGGCTGTTTTGATTTTTAAAAGGACCTGGAGCAAATATGCTATCACCCTGATCCTTATAATATTATTTTTTAATATATTTTATTGATTTTTTTACAGAGAAAAGGGAGAAAGAGAGTTAGAAACATCCATGAGAGAGAAACATCAATCAGCTGTCTCCTGCACATCCCCTACCAGGGATGTGCCTGCAACCAAGGTACATGCCCTTGACCGGAATCGAACCTGCGACCCCTCAGCCCGCAGGTTAACGCTCTATCCACTGAGCCAAACCGGTTTCAGCCACCCTGATCCTTATTAAAGGTCAGGCTGGGAAGGGATGGGTGATGGTTCCTTTTCACAATGTTGGAAGCATTTCATAAGGAGAAATGGTGCCTGGTGTAGGCGCCATCTCAGGCAGTTTCCTTGTTCACACACGGAGGCGTGGAGGCGCAGTAAGCCTTTGAGCAGAGGAGGAGCTGCCAGTCAGGTGTGTGCAGGAAAGGCCTTGGCTTCGCTGGGGGACACGGCTCCTTAACTCACTCTCTAGCGGTGGAGGAATGCAGCCACAAAGGGTGCCTCGCCTTGTCCCTCCTTGAGCTCCTGGGTTTCAACTTGACCTTTGTCTTCTTAGGGAGTCTTCTCGTCCTGATTGAGGTAAGAGGCCTTTTTGTTGTCAAGATTTTGGGTCCTACACTCCTTATCTCCATCGCCATGGCTGGGAGGCCAGAGAACTGAATTAGACTTGGAATGTAGATTCTTGCAGACAGTGGCCTCTCCTTCACTTAGAAATGTTTCTGAAAGTCAGGTTTTAGCCTGCGGTGAGATTAGAGAGCAAACATCTAGAGGAGGGTGTTTCTCCACCTTGGGGAGCACATTAGGATAGGATCCCCTGGAGAACTTTTAAGAATGATTGGCACCCGGGCCCCAGCTCACGTGAGTGAGGTCAGGGTCTCCGGAAGGGGGTGCCTGCATGGAATGTTGAGGGGCTCCAGAAGGGGGTACATGCATGAAAAGTTGAAGGGCTCCACAGGTGATGCTGAGTCACTTTTTAGAAATGCATGGCCTCCCATCCCCCTCAGACCTGCCGAGTCAGAAACCCAGGCCAGCAGGTTGTCCCTCCGGTGAGGCGCTGGGTTTGAGTGTGTGGCTGTGCCTCCTCTTCCAGCCTGTGGCAGCGGGTTCCGGGATCCCCGAGATCAAATGCTACCTGAATGGGGTGAAGGTGCCCGGAATCGTCCGTCTCCGGACCCTGGTCTGCAAAGTCTTCGGGGTGCTGTTCAGCGTAGCTGGAGGTAAGGGGGGAAGGGGGGGAATTTCTGACTACTTTCCTTCAAAGGGTGAAGAGGACAAAAAAGCATTTTGCATGTAAATGAAGTATAGATTTGGATGTGAGGGCTTGCCCTTAGCAGATCTCTGTACTTTCTGACCAGGGCTGAGTTATGTAAGCGCAGACCTGCTAGTTACCATTCAGCGATCTCTGAGTAACTCATTAGGTTTTGCAGTAGACCCACCATCCACTTGGTTTATGGAGTTGGCTTTCAGCAGAGTCAGTGAGCTTTTTGTGTAACCAGCTAGATAGTCAATGTTTTAGGCTTTGTGGGCCAAAGAGGCAACATTGAAAATATTATTTAGGTGCTTAAACTTACATAGTCATTTAAAACATACCCAGGTGAGAATGGAAAAATTATTCTTAGCTCACCAGCTGTAAAAAACAGCCAGTCGTTGGGCCCACAGCTGTAGTGTGCTGATGCCCAGTTGAGAGTTTAAAGAGTATTTCCTCTTATTTGATGGGAACTTGACTCTCCTTGTTAGATAGTCACAGGAGCATCTCTGTTTTATCAAGAGGAAGGTTTATACAGCAGAGGTCTCTCTACTAGCGTGGGTCTGTGCTGACTGACAGTCTCCCCTTCTCCACGTGCTCCCAGGGCTCTTCGTGGGGAAGGAAGGCCCCATGATCCACAGCGGCGCCGTGGTGGGCGCTGGCCTCCCTCAGGTAAGGGTGATGGGTTGGGAAGGTGAGTCCCTTACAGTGGTCTCCGGGCAGGGGCTTCTGGGAGTCAGTCTGGAAGAAAATCCATCGGCAGCACCCTAACACGGCTTTGGAGTCTGACGTTAGTTTGGGTTGATGTAAAAACTATGTGGCCTGTCTCCTGGGAGAGGGGGTAACGGGTACCCCGGAGTTTTAACTAGGTCCTAGGAACAGAAATAGGACAGAGAACGTCTGTTCAAATGCAAGTCATTTAGTGCTCCCACAGTCATTGCTCGCGCCTCCCTGTAAGGTGGCTCAGTGGGTCAGCTCGGCGCTGCCCTATCCCAAGATGCAGGTGGTTCCGGGCACAGGGTTGTGCTGAGTGCCCTGAGGCAGCACAGGACTAAGAACACACGGGGTGAGGATCTAACCCAGGACCCCAAAGCTCCATCCTTACGGGCTATTCCGGATTCAGGCTGCAGGGTGGAGACAACCTTGGTTCCTTGTGATCCGTCACTTGTGGGCATGTTCCTCTCTCGTCCTGAGAGGAGGGGATGATGCCAGTGAGCAGTCAAAGCCAAGGAGAGGAGGCTTGCCCACAGCCCGTCTTCTGCTCTCTCTCTCTCTGCTGCTGCCTCACCCTCCCAGCCAGCCCCCAGCCTCTCAGCGTGAGCCTTTGGGGGACAAGTTGAAGGTGGCGCTTGTGCCCTTCCTTACCGCCACCCTGAGCAGGGCTCACTTTACCTCCGCAGGAGCTTTCACTTCCTCCCCGCCCTTCGCTCAGCTGTTTCCTTCCCGTTTCCTCTCTAACTGATCGGGTACAAAATGCAGTTTCTGAAGAGCATAGCAATTCAGGGGCAGGAAAGGAAGTTCTTCCCAGAGACAGTTCTTTTCCCAGGCTGCTCTTCTGGACTCTCCCTGTGGCAGCACATCTGCCAGCCGTGGGGGCGGGGGGTTCAAGGCGGGGACCCCCTCAGGGTTCCTGCAGGTGGGCCCCCTCTGACCTTGTTTTCTCTCGTTTCAGTTTCAGAGCATCTCCTTCCGGAAGATCCAGATTAACTTCCCCTATTTTCGAAGTGACAGGTATGGAAAGGTTAGGAATTGGATTTTCTTTTCTTTAAGTTAAGTCTATTGGGGTAACATTGGTTAATAAGATTATATAGGTTTTAAGTGTGGATTTCTATGCTACATGACCTGTATATTGCATTGTTTTACCATCCCCCTAAGTGAAATCACCTTCTGTCACCATACATTTGGCTCCCTTTCCCTTTACTACCTCCCACCCCCTTCCGTCTGGTAACTACCATACTGTTGTCTGTGTCTGAATTTCAGTTTTATATTCTACGGATGAGTGAAATCATACAGTTCTTAGCTTTTCCTGATTGACTTATTTTGCTTGGCATAATCTGAAAGTCCATCCATGTCACAAATGGCAATATTTCATTTCTTATGGCTGAATAGTACTCTATTATGTATATACTAGAAGCCAGGTGCACGAAAATTTGTGCCCTCGAGGTGGTCCCTCAGCCCGACCTATGCCCTCGCAGTCCAGGGGATATCCACCTGCCTGCTTAGGCCCGCAGCCCTGCAGCGGTCCGCCCAGCTTGTGGCTGAGCAGAGCTCCCCCTGTGGGAGCACACTGACCACCAGGGGGCAGCTCCTGCTTTGAGCATCTGCCCCCTAGTGGTCAGTATTTATCATAGTGACCGGTCATTCCACCCTTAGGGTCAATTTGCATATTTCAATTCGCATATTACCCTTTTATTACATAGAATACCACATCTTCTTTATCCAGTTGTCTATTGAAGGACATTTGGTTGTTTTCATGTCTTCAGTCACTGTGAACAATGCTGCAGTGAACATAGGGGTGCATAAATCTTTGCCAATAAATGTTTTCAAGTTTTTTGGTTTAAAAATGCTGAGAAGGATTGCTGTGTAATATAGTAACTCTTAATGTTTTGAGGAACCTCCACACTGTTTTCCATAGAGGCTGTACCAGTTTACATTCCCTTCAGCAGTGATGAGGATTCCTTTTTCTCTATAACCTCTCCAACACTTAATTATTACTCGTCTTATTGATAATAGAAATTGGAGTTTCTTTTTTTTTTCTTTTTTCTTTTCTTAAAGGTTTTTTAAAATTGATTTTTAGAGAGGGGGGAAGGGAGAAGGAGAGACAAACATCATTGGCTGCTTCCTGACCACAACCTGGGCATGTGCCCTGACCCGGAATCAAACAGGCAACCTTTTGGTGCGCGGACAACACCTAACCATTGAGCCACACTGGCCAGGGCAGAATTGGATTCTCTTGAGAAAAATAAACTGTTCATTTACTGCCTCTGAGACCCCATACTCGCTCTAGCCAGCTTATTGCCTCCCCTGCTGGGCAGGCTGCATGCAAAACCCGGTGTCAGAAAGAAGGTGGGCTGAGCTACTGTCCTAAAAATAAGCAACCAGGGCCCGGATGGTCTCCTGGCTTCCACTTTGTCATGACCTAAGGCCTAGAAGTATCTGAGGCAGTGGAGATGAAAAACACGGCCGAGACAGTCCACAGGCGTCCTCTCTAGAGCATGTCCTGGGTCACCGCCTTGTGGCATTTGTGTGTGTGAAACTGCCCCGCCCACAAGGCCCTTGGAATCAGGCCCGGCCAGAGCTGTGGTCTACCTCCCGCCTTGGTATTCCTCTGTGTCCTTGTTACCTGCTCCTCTGCACGTCACCAGCGCTTCGGCGTTTTCATGACGCTGTGACCTTTGGAAGGAAGATCTGGGGAGGGTGTAGCTCAGCAGGGACTGAGCTGGGGCTCAAATTCCATCTTCGGAGGAGCCGGGTGTGAGGAGGCCTCTCCCCCTGAGGAGCTCGGCTGCGGAGTGGGTCTGGCTCTCAGGTGAATCTGTTTGTTGCCCAGTTGGTCTACCTCAGACCCTGACTTCATGGCTCCTGAGGTAAAATGTTGGCAGATAAGGCCCTGGCCAGTGTGGCGTCATTCATGCACCAAGAAGTTGCTAGTTTGATTCCCCGTCAGTGCACATGCCCAGGTTGCAGGTTCAATCCCCACTTGGGGTGTGCAGGAGGTAGCTGATTGATGTTTCACTCTCACATCAACGTTTCTCTCTCTCTCTCTCTCTCTCTCTCTCTCTCTAAATCAATTTAAAAACAAACAAACACATGGGCAAAGAAGGCAGGAAAAACTGCCTTTTGTGGCCTGAGGGCCCTCTGTCAATAAAGCGTCTTCCTCTTCTCTCCCCAGAGACAAGCGGGACTTTGTATCAGCTGGGGCAGCAGCTGGCGTCGCTGCAGCCTTCGGGGCTCCCATTGGGGGGACCCTGTTCAGTCTGGAGGAGGGCTCGTCCTTCTGGAACCAGGGGCTCACGTGGAAAGTGGTGAGGAGGCCTTTGAAGGAAAACCCTCTTCTAAGCATAACCCCCATTTAAACTGTCGTTCTGACGCGCCCAGGCCTTGGCGTTAGCCACCCTCACTGCCAACGAGGGCCTTTCCCGTGCTTTTCATGTGCACACGCTCCCCTCCCCCCACCAGATGCCAGTGTCGCCTCTTGATGATGAGGCACCTGGCGTGCAAACGTGGAACTGGTCATCAGGCAGCGGCGGCAGAGCCCAGACTTGAACCCCGACTCCTGCCTCGGAGCAGCGCATTCTTCCTCCCGTGTTCACTCTTCCTTCGGGCACAGGATTCAGTGTGAGCCTGGCTCTCAGTGAATAGTTCTCACGGCAGGCTGCTGACATGAGAGCTGCCGTGGCCTGGGTACAGATGTCCACCCGGTGCCTTCCTCGCAGTGGTTACTGGACGCCTGTGCCGGGCCGGGGTTGGCAGGCTTCTCTGTAGAGCAGCAGGTTTTAGGAAGAGGGCAGGGAGGAAGCAGGACTTGGCACTATTGAATGTCCTGTCTGTGTCACCCGTCCCTAGCTCTTCTGCTCCATGTCGGCCACCTTCACCCTCAACTTCTTCCGCTCTGGGATTCAGTTTGGGAGTTGGGGCTCCTTCCAGCTCCCTGGATTGCTGAACTTCGGCGAGTTCAAGGTATGCTTTGTCCTTTTCCTCCAGAATTTCTTTTATTTTTAATAAGATGCAATTAAAATTTTTTAATATATATTTTTATTTCAGAAAGGAAGGGAGAGGGAGAGATCAGTGATAAAGGAAATCTTTGATTGTCTGCCTCCTGTATGCCCTCTATAGGGAATTGAGCCTGCAACCAGGGCATGTGCCCTTGACTGGAATCGAACATGAGACCCTTCAGTCCATAGGCTGATGCTCTATCCACTGAGCCAAACCAGAGAGGGCCCCCCAGAATTTCTTGCTTGCTTGGTGACAGTTGATCTAAGTAATGCACAGATAGAAGCAATCAGCAGGGCAGGGGCAGCTCCTGGTGGGCTCTCGGCCCCTGCAGCCTCCTGTGGGTGCCCCTGCCGGTGGGGGCAGGCCCTTGAAGAGAGAAGATGGCCTCCCCTCCTGTGTCTGTCTCTCCGATTCCATCCCTTCCCGTCCTCATGGGCGCCTGGTTTTCTCTCCCTTTCTCTCAGTGCTCTGACTCTGATAAAAAATGTCACCTCTGGACAGCTGTGGACTTGGGTGTCTTCATCGTGATGGGGGTCTTTGGGGGCCTCCTGGGAGCCACATTCAACTGTCTGAACAAGAGGCTCGCAAAGTACCGAATGCGAAACGTGCACCCGAAGCCCAAGCTCGTCAGGTACCTGCGCAGCCGCTTCCCCAGCCTGCGGGGCTCCCCGAGCTCCGTGTGGATGGGCCGTCTCCCCGAGGGAGGTGATTGTGACACCCTGCTCCCCACACCAGCTCTGATTCCACACCTGAGACGGAAGGTAGAGGGGTCGTGTGCACTGTATTCGTCAGGCCTAAAGGCTGAGGCTGAGCTTCATTCATATGAGAGCCGCTGGTTGCCCCCCCTCGGCCCCCCCCCCCGCTCCCCCCCTTCTCTAGGACGTGTGACAGTCAGAAAGGTCAGCGTGAAAGGCATTTTGTTCCCCGGAGAGAGATGATGTGGACGCAGCAGCCATGTCCCTGCCGCCCACTTTTCCCGTAGGAATTGCTGGACACAGCACATGCTGACTGGCGGAGGCTCCTGCACATGCCTTTGGGGGGAAAGGGGCTAGGGGTCGGTGGGGTTGTGCATTTGTGTCTTATTACCTGTAACAGCTGTCCTTTGTTTCCTAGAGTCTTAGAGAGCCTCCTGGTGTCTCTGGTGACCACCGTGGTGGTGTTTGTGGCCTCCATGGTGTTAGGAGAATGCCGACCGATGTCTTCAGGCCAAATCGGGAATGACTCGCTCCTGCTCCAGGTAACCCCGTTCCTCTGAGTATGGAACCTGCGCTCTGCTTTTCGTGGAAACTGATTTCCAACGGGTGCTCTGGAGCTTCTCAGTGCATTGACTGCAGGACTTTCCAGAGAGCCTTCAGGACTGGTGTTCCTCCTGGCATAGTTTGGGAACCATTGCATGTGTGTCTTCTCAGCTCGGTTGCTGTTCTAAGCACGTTTCTCCTTTGCCAGCTCTTCCTGCCATGTTCCACCACTAGGGGGCACTGTCCTATTTCCTACGGCAGCCTGCATCTAACCGTGTTGGCCAGCCCGGTTCACCTGCTAGACTTATACAGCACCCAGGCCACCTAGTACCGTTATAGTGTTCACATGAGGGCATCTCTGCGGTGTTAGCCATAGAATGGAGTCCAGGAGAAGTCCATTCCTTACTGAGCTCTGTAACAACACTTGTATGCACAGCAATAGGTGTGAAGTACACCCCCTACACTATCAAATAGAAAACAAGAACTTTCACAATCCAGATTCCCTTACCCCTAATGAGCGAGGCAGTACTGGAATTGCATCTTCCTACAAGAGAGAATGTGGAGAGAATGGGAGGTCTGAAATGTGGAGAAGTAATCTCTTCCCAGGCGAGGTTTTGTGCAGCCAGGTGGAGGCTGGGGGAGGCAGCCAGGAGTGTCTGCACCAGTCCTCACGTGCAAGTGGTTCTGCTTCTGCAGCAAACTCAGGATGGAGGCTTTTTCCATTTGGAACCAAAGTCGGGGCATTAGATCAGGCCGTACCCTGGAAGCTCCTGAAAAGCTGTCAGCTCCTAACCACTAGGCTATCACCTGCCTCATCTTCCCCCAGTCCCTGTGGTTCCCAGCCAGGCTTCCAGGAGTGTCACACACAAAATTAGCACCGGGAGAAGAGACAGGGCAAAGTCCCTGGTGAATCATCGTATTATAGTTACAGTTTCATTATGAATGGAAGTCCGCGGGCCCACATCTTCATTCATTCATTCTCAGAATGCAAGGAATCTATTCTCAAAATGCAAGTTGGCCGCTCTTGGGTACAGATCTGTTTTTGCTACCTGTTTAATGTACAGGAAAAGCATGGATGCCAGACTTTTTTGGCCTAGGTGGGGACCTCCCACTTGAAGATTCAAGTGCCCTGGTCAAGTGCTGACCTTGTACTGATTTCCGTTTCTTAGGCCATATCAGAAGATGTGAATTCAAGTATCAAGACCTTTTTCTGTCCCAATGAGACCTACAATGACATGGCCACCCTCTTCTTCAACCCCCAGGAGTCTGCCATCCTCCAGCTCTTCCACCAGGATGGTGAGCTCCAAGGCACCAACCCATCCCTGTATGGTTGGGTTTTTCCTACAGAGAACAAATAGTAATTATTCCTGTGCTCCTCTGCTGGCCCTCAGCTAGAGCCAGGCTTCCCTTTCATGCTGAGCAAAAAAACAGGACTTTCCTTTGTAATTCCAACCCAGACAAGATTAGCCTTTCTGCCGCCAGTGTCGGAGGTGACCTGGGTGGTGTGCAGAGGACCTGTGGGAACCAAGGTGGCCTGGTGGGCATCTGGCACCTGGCAGCGGGACTCAGGTCTGTCCTTGCCTTGCAGGTACCTTCAGCCCCATCACTCTGGCTCTGTTCTTCACCCTCTATTTCTTGCTTGCGTGTTGGACTTACGGCATTTCTGTTCCGAGTGGCCTCTTTGTACCTTCTCTGCTGTGTGGAGCTTCTTTTGGACGTTTAGTTGCCAATGTCCTCAAAAGGTACAGTGTGTGTACGTGTGTGCATGAGTGTGCACATGTGTACATACATGTGCAAGTGCTCGAACCGTAGCCCTGCCCTTCCACCCAGCACGATGCCAAGCCACATTCTTGTTGTCTCTCTTCACCAGCTACATTGGACTGGGCCATGTCTATTCGGGGACCTTTGCCCTGATTGGTGCCGCGGCTTTCCTGGGCGGGGTTGTCCGTATGACCATCAGCCTCACGGTCATCCTGATCGAATCCACCAACGAGATCACTTACGGGCTTCCCATTATGATCACTCTGATGGTGAGCACTGCCTTCTAGGCCACTTTGGGGGTCAGCGCCACGCTCACCCCACAGCAGCCTCTTTTCAGGTCTTCACTCTGTGTTTCAGGTGGCCAAGTGGACAGGGGACCTTTTCAATAAGGGCATTTACGACATCCACGTGAGCCTGCGAGGAGTGCCGCTTCTGGAGTGGGAGACAGAGGTGGAGATGGACAGGTGAGGCCAGGGGGTCTGTTCACATCCGAGGGCCCAAGGAATGAGGGTGGGAAATGGTCACTTAGAATCTTGGGTTAGAATGAAGTGAAACGGGGTCATTGAAAGAGCAAGTACGTGTGGGAACAGTGAGCAGTTCTGTGTGGCTGGGAGCTGGGGCAGGGCAGGGAGGGCAGGGCCGATGCATGGCTTTGTGTGGGTCCTGTGTTCTGGTTCAGTAGGAAGTGAGGGCTGTGCCTAAAGTCTGTTTTAGACTTGAATGTCTAAACAAAGGGCTTGCTAGCCCTGGCCGGTTTTCCTCAGTGGTTAGAGTGCCTGAGGACCAAAGGGTTGAGGGTTCAATTCCTGGTCGTCCCCACCCCATTCAGGACATGTGTAGGAGGCAGCAGTCGATGTGTCTTCACATCAATGTTTCTATCTCCCCTCCTCCTCCTCCTTCCTTTTCACTCTAAAAAAAATCAATGGAAAAAACATTTTCAGGTGAGGATTAATCTAAGGTTCTCCTAGCCTGCCTCACGTGTGCCTAATGAAGTCGCATGTTATAATCACCAAATTACCCAGCAGCCCACAAATGGTGTGGGCCTCCTACTTCTGGGTAGCACACAAGTCCCCTGTGGTCGAATGTAGGGTCATCAAGCCCTGTAAAGGGCCCGATAGTCAATGTTGTCAGCTCTGCAGGCGTGTGGGTTCTGCAGTCACCAGCTCTGCGCTGGCGATGCAGGGGCAGGCATAGACGGTATCTAGACAAGACAGGCAGGGACTTGACCTGTGGCTGCAGCTGCCATCCTGGTCTAAGGGGCACCAAATGTTGTTTTTTTTTTAATTCTAATAGTGTAATTACCAATTCAGTGTGATACGGGGAGTGTGCCATGGAGTGCTGAGGAGGGGCGGGGTTTGTGGTAAGGGGACTTCTCGTGTTGAGCCGAGGGGTAAATCCAGGCCCACCCATTGGACAAAGCGGGGAAGGGCGTTTCCGGCCTGGGGAAGGGCATGTGCGGACAAGGTGGCTCAGGAGGCGCCAGGAGAGCCAGGGCAGCCCATCGCACTGCTCCCGGGTGCTGTGGGCTCCAGCGTGAGGCTGATGGCTTCCCTCCTCCCCAGACTGAGAGCCAGTGACATCATGGAGCCCAACCTGACCTACGTCTACCCGCACACCCGCATCCAGTCGCTGGTCAGCATCCTGCGCACCACTGTCCACCATGCCTTCCCCGTGGTCACCGAGAACCGGGGCAACGAGAAGGAGTTCATGAAGGGCAACCAGCTCATCAGTAACAACATCAAGTTCAAGGTGAGAACACAGCCGAGAGGAGAGGCTGGTGACAGGTGGTTCCGTGGTGCTCACACTGCCTGGTGCTCATCACGCCCCACAGGTGGGGTGGCTCTAAGGAGAATCAGCACTCCTTTAGGTGCAACAGTGAATGTAGATGTGACAGCAAGTGTGGACTCCGTTAGATCATCAGGGCATGTCCATTCTTCTAGTAAGCACGGGGATAAGTTTGTTCTGTTTTTAAGTGTATTTTTATTGATTTCAGAGAAGAAGGGAGAGAGAAATAGAAACATCAGTGTTGAGAGAGAATCATTGATCAGCTGTCTCCTGCATGCCCCACACTGGGGATGGGAGCCTGCAACCCAGGAATCGAACTGTGACCTCCTGGTTCATAGGTCAGTGCTCAAACGCTGAGCCACACCAGCTAGGTGGGACAGATTTGTTTTTAACCGGCAGTCTTCGGGATTCCTGCACGTTGGATCAGCGAGGGTTCTAGAGTTGCCAACCACAGAAGTGGACTTTGCCCTGCTTAAGAGAGGAAAAGAAATCCATTGGAAGCTGCAGGACCGGCAGGAAAGTGAAGGAGCCAGAGCGGTGTGCTCGGGCATGCAGGCGGTGAGGGGACCCTCTGAGAGACCTGGCCTCGGAGCTGCTGTTCTGTCTTTGGGATGCTCGCAGATTGAAATCCAGGCAGAGGGAGAGTGCCGTTGCCTCACGTGGTCCTGTGCCCACCCCTGGGCTTGCTGGAGAGAGGGTTTGTTCCCCACTGGAGAACTGAGATGCTTTTCCAATTCAAAGAGCAAGGACGTTGGGCCGGCAGAAACCACTGGGTCTGCAACAAGCCCTGTGGTGCCCAGAGGCTCCTGTGCACCGGCCCAAGGCCACTGCCAGCGTTTCTGACAGTACCTGTCGGCATGTGCTTCTATCCTCACTGCCCCCCAGTCCTTACGCTAAGTCAGGGCTGTGTTGGTGTGCCTGCGTGCCATTGTCACCCCTCCCCATCCACAGAAATCCAGCATCCTCACCCGAGCCGGCGAGCAGCGCAGGCGCAGCCAGTCCATGAAGTCCTACCCGTCGAGTGAGCTGCGGAACATGTGTGACGAGCACGTGACCTCAGAGGAGCCGGCCGAGAAGGAGGACCTCCTGCAGCAGATGCTTGAGCGAAGGTGAGCACGCAGTCCTCCCACCGCGCAGGCCCAGCAGCCTGCAGGGGTCGGGAAGGGCAGCCTCTGCTCGGACGCTGTTAGGTAGCCCCGAGTTTTTGGGGATTTGGGGGGTGGGTTGGGACGTGGGTGAAACGCGATCCTGCTGAGGGTATACTAGGCAGCGTCTGGTTTTTATATAACAGATACACTCCCTACCCCAACCTATACCCTGACCAGTCCCCAAGTGAAGACTGGACCATGGAGGAACGCTTCCGCCCTCTGACCTTCCACGGCCTGATCCTGCGGTCGCAGCTGGTCACCCTGCTCGTCCGAGGAGTGTGCTATTCCGAAAGCCAGTCGGTGAGTGTCTCTTGCCCGTACCAGCATTCCGGAAGGCAGGAGGATAGCGCACACCTCCGCCTCAGAGAGAAGGGGAGGCACAGTCATGTGCCAGCAGCTGCTTAGGGGGCGCATGCTGCCCCCGCTTCCCTCTGCTGCAGTCGGTGTCCTCCCGGGGTCACCAGCAGGGGGTGTGAGTCCCCCCCTTCTCCACGCAGCCTCTGCACCTGTGTCGGGTGTCTGCCAGCCTGCAGGCTTTCCGCAATCTCTACATTTTAGTTTCTGGTGTGCGTGAACCTTCTTACCTGTGTTTCCAGAAGCCCCATTCTTCCCGTGAGTTCCCCTGTAGTTTCTTTTCCTCTTTTGCTTGGTTTTTGTAGAGATAAGCGGAGGGCGGGTGTTGTTCGTCCCGCTCACTCACACACTCACCCCTTCAAGTGGAGCCTGAGAGAGGAGCCTGAAAGCGCTGCCTGGAGACCTGGTTTCCACGCTGGCTCTCCTGGTCCGGGTCTTGTCCTAGGGCTCAGCCTCAGGTCCCCCGTGGCCCAGTGCCTGCAGAAGAGCAGCTGTCAGGGCCGGGCAGGGAGGGCCGCGGTGCAGAGCTGGGCCCGAGCGTGTGGTCTGTGGGGAGGACCCGCCTGGCTGGGAGTTGGGGACAAGGAAGTGGAGGCGTGAAGCCAGATGACAGGGGCCTCACCTGCAGGCAGGAACCAGCCAGAGCTGGATGGTGCCACGCTGGGAGGCAGTGGTGCACGGAGAAAGCTGTGTCAGGTGGGACAGCAGTGACCGGTACGTGTGGTCACTTGTTTTGGCCCAGGTGCCCAGTGACAGCAGCAGAGAGAGTCGGCATGGAGGAAAGCAGCAGCTGTTGTCTGTTTGCTGTGCCGCTGTGTCCAGTTGCCACTAACGTGGCTTCAAACCAGTTTGCTTTTCATAGCTTTCAAGGCCGGAGCACAGAGTCCAGGTGCCGGCGGGGCCACGCTCTCTCTGGCGGCTCCAGGGAGATCCTTCCTCGTCCTCCTATGGTGGTGCCAGCGGTCCTTGACATTCCTGACTGCAGACCAGTCACTTCCCCCCATACCCCATCATCACTCTTTGAATAAGGACGGTAGTCATGGGGTTTAAGGCCCTCCCCAACCCAGTAGGACCTCGTCTGACCTTGATCACATCTGCGGAGCCCTGGTTTCCAACAAGGCCACATTCACAGGCACCAGGGGTTGGACTTGGACATCTCTTTTGGGGGCACACAAATCCACCCACGCAGCTACTGTTAGCCCTTTTCTCCTTTAGACCTCCCTGCCCATGTCCATCTTACCGGAGAAGGAAAGGAGGGTTTGGGGGCTTAGGAGGCTTGGCTGGGGGACACAGCTGGGAACTGGCTCCAAAGCACGTGTTCCGGCCACTGCCCTGTCCCCCTCACTCTGGGGACCATGGCTGGGCGGATACAGACCGGACGAGGGAGGGGCTCTTCACGTGACCCTGTGCTCGCTGCAAGGACAGTGTCTCGGTTGGGTTTGCAGAGCGCCAGCCAGCCGCGCCTTTCCTACGCGGAGATGGCGGAGGATTACCCACGGTTCCCTGACATCCACGACCTGGACCTGACGCTGCTGAACCCGCGGATGATAGTGGTGAGAGGGCTGTCCCCCCGTAGGCCGGGAAGGACCGCTCTGGTCGGTGCTGGTTGGCGTCTCATCCGGGTTAGGGCAGAGCTGGCTGCAGGAAACTCCAGTTGTCTTTCCTCTGCAGGATGTCACCCCATACATGAACCCGTCACCCTTCACCGTGTCCCCTAACAGCAGCGTCTCCCAGGTTTTTAACCTGTTCAGGACCATGGGGCTGCGGCACCTGCCGGTGGTGAACGCGGTGGGAGAGGTGAGTGAGTTCCAGGGGAGGAGGGAGCACCCGCAGGCCTGTAGCAGCCCAGCCTCGCCCCCGCCCCCTCCCCACCTTCGGGAAAGGACCCTCCAACCACAGAACCCAGCAGGGAGGGCCCTAGACCAAAGCCTCCTGTGAGCCCCCACCAGGAGTGAGGAGGGAGTGGGCGCCTGGAGCCTGGGATAACCACACACCTTCCCCCTTTGCCTTCTGTTTTTGTTTTTGTTTTTGTTTTATAATATATTTTATTGATTTTGTACAGATAGGAAGGGAGAGAGATAGAGAGTTAGAAACATCGATGAGAGAGAGTCATCAATCAGCTGCCTCTTGCATACCCCCTACTGGGGATATGCCCGCAACCAAGGTACATGCCCTTGACCGGAATCGAACCCGGGACCCTTCAGTCTCCAAGCCTACGCTCCATCCAGTGAGCCAAACCGGTTTTGGCGCCTTCCGTTTCTTATACGCCGTCTCCAGCGCGGCCAGCAGGTGTCGCCAGAGGCACTGTGGGCTAGGAAAGTTTAGAGCCACATCTCTTCTTCACCCAAGACTGGCAACACCTAGGGGGCTGGGTGAGGTGTCGGTTCCCCGGCTGTTCGGGCACTGTAACCTTAAATGAGAGGCTTTCAAGCCAAATCCTGGGGGCGGGAGGAGATGGGGACTGAGAAAGCAGGGAGCATGTGCCCTGGCTACACAGATGACAAATTGAGATGGTCACCGGCTGGACCACAGCCCATTGGCCTCCCCGTTAGGAGCCTTAGTGATCTGTGCATCCTGTTCCACAGAGGTCAGGTGACCTTTGAAGTGAGTGTCATGATGTCTGCCTACAGGACCCCGTCTGTCCTCCACCTCCTGACAGGCTGGGCCAGCGCCGTCCTCCTGGGCTTGCCCCCTGCGTTGGACTCGGCAGGTGACTGGTCTTTCTCTCCTCGCCCTAGATCGTTGGGATTATCACCCGCCACAACCTCACGTACGAATTCCTGCAGGCCCGGCTGCGGCAGCACTACCAGACCATCTGAGGCCCCTGGACTCGGGGAGCAGCTCTGCTCCCCCACGGCTGGGGGGCTGCCCCAGGGCACGGCAGGGCCCCGTCACCCCTCGCGCGGAAACCTGCAGTCATCGAACGCTTGCTGGTCTAGATCCTGGGGATGGTCTGACCGTCGGAGTTTGGGTTTGTCTGACTTCCTCAGCGAGTATCTTCCCGGTCCCCGCTCCCCGAGCTCCTGCCATCCAGGGCGGCACAGGCCCCAGCCCCCGCCCCACGAATGCCAGGACCCGAGAGGGGTCAGGCTCACCGCTGGGGGGACACCGAGCAGTGTTCTGCCCCTCCGCTGCTTTCCCGGGGGACCGCGCTCTGCCTTAGCCGTGAGGGAGGGATGTGGACACGGCAGGCCCTGGGAAACGCCAGGTGGAAAATGACGTGAAAGACTGGCTCCGGGCTGGGCACTCAGAAGATGGCCCAGTTCAGGGCGGCCTTCCTCTGCGCTCCCACCGTCTGCAGGTTCCCAGAGTGGGTGTGTGCTGCTTCCAGGTGTGAGCTCAGCTCAGCCCTGTGGTTTCAGTCTCCTTAGAAAACCGCTCCCCCCACCCCCCCCACCCCCCCGCCCAAGAAGCACGAAGCATTAACCCCACTAATCGTCCCTGAGCAGTGGATCTGACAGTGGGGCCAGCTTTACATCTGCCCTGGTTTTAACATTTCAGCTTTCTCTCCACTTCCCAAGTGACGCACAGTCCCAGGTGATGCATTTTTACCCCGATTTGTCCCTGCTTCGTTCTCCTCCACGGAATCCCTAAACTCCCCACACTTGCCTGCGTCTTCCTGTAAAGCCCAGAGGGTCTTGAGGCACCTCCCCCCATGTTAACTAAATAAAAGCAGGCCTTCCAAGTTAACTGAGAGCAGCCCCCCGACCCCCCACAGTTTAACTAAGAGCAGGGCCCCTAGATAAACCGCTGGTCTCTGGAGAACGGTACAGTTACTTCCAAATGGGAAGGAGGGAGTCTGAGCCAGCGACCGCCACGAGGTACGAGATGCGGCTTGAAATGCCCAAGTGCGGCGATGAAGTAGGTGCGTGTGCGAGGACGCAGGTGTCCGCACCCGCAGGCCCCGTCACTTCCCACTGCCACCCCAGCCTGCTGAGGGGCTCAGCAGTGAAACAGGATGCTTCCTGCCAGGACGTGCCCGGGGCTTTGGCATCAAACCCGGGCAGCCTCCCTCTGTCAGTGGCTCAGCTTCTCCGGGCGGCCGGGCCTCTGCTCAGGCCCCCGAGGTGGGCCTCTGGGCGTCAGCGTTTGCCCTCACTGGCCTCTGCTCTCCACGGTGAGCAGCATCCGGGCCATCAGGAACCCAGGCAGGTGGGCTCAGCACTCGAGGTGGCATCGGTTGGTGTTTCATTTTCTCGTGCTTCTATCTGGGAGTTGCCTGGAGGGCGTCCTGCCTGGCCGTGGCCACACTTGTCGCCCTTCACCTCGAGGTGACTCCGGTGGAAAGACCCTTTCCAGGGGTGGTTGTCCGCCTGCTCTGCCCGCCCAGGTCTGGGCTCGACACGCTCAGTGAGGGGCCTCCGACCCATCTCTCCTCGGCCAAAAGTACTCTGAGGTCTGAGCGTGTCAGCTCCCTGGAGGCACTTGGTGTGTGAAACGATGAAGCCCCAGTGCATTGTTGGGGAAATCACAAGGACCCAAGAGGCCAGCCCTTCTCAGCGTGGTGTGAGCAGCTGCCACTTTGCTTCGAAGTGTTCAGAGCTTGCCTGCAATCTTCTTCCTTTCAAGACGAAGGAAGCCAGCTGCACGTCAGGAGAATGGCCTGACCCCCTCACGGGAACTTGACCCTCTTCCCAGGCCTCCCTGAGGGGGCCGGGCCAAGTTCTTAGTGGGTCACCAGGCCTCTCGTCCTGGGCTGGGTCACCAGGAAATGGTCCTCATGCACATCGTGTTGCTTTTAAGGCACCAGACACTTGTTCCCTTCGGTGGAGCCCAGAGATCGACGACAGAACGCAAATGCCTCTCCTCTCCCCCTCCCTTCTGCACTCCCAAGTCGGCTGGACGGCTGCCGGGGAGGGCCAGACCCAGGCCCCTCGGGAAAGGCGCTTCCTGTCCCCTGTGAAGGCCATCCTCTCCTGGTGCCCAAAGAGCCATGCCCATTCCTGCAAGCCTGCTTCTCGGAAGTCTCAAACCTGCGTTTCCAGCCTCACCCGGTGCCAGCAGCCCCGGGGGCTCCGGGATCTGGGCCTCCATAGACGGCAGCGCGGGCTCCAGGCGTGGCTAGCGGTGGCTGTTTGGGCTCTGGTGTTTCGTGGTCCCTGACTGCGGGCAAGGAAGGTGGGGTAGAGGCCCCACGGCTGCAGGACTTGCACTCGAAGGTGGTTTGCTCATGACCTTGTTTAACGAGTGGCTCCGGGCTGGAATGGACATGGCCTGACCCAGCCGGCCACATGGCGTGTCCGGTGTGAGGTTGCACCCTGATCCCGCCCTGGGTGTCGGAGTGGCTGGCAACAGTAGCGTTTGTGTGCGGGATTGCACGCCAGCTGCGGGCCTTGGCGTGTGGACAGCAGCAGCTTCCTTTGTTGTGTTTGCACTGTTGGTTTATACATAACCTTCGCTAATTCCATGTGTATATAAATTGTATTTTTTTAATTTGTAAAATCCTATTTTTATTTGAACTTTTAGAACTTGGAAGTTCTCGTCATAACCTTACCACGTCGGAATAAAACGTCTCCATCGGTCTCCTTAGCCAGTCTCCATGGCGTTCTTTAGAGGGGGTTTTTATCTTACCCCCTCACTATCAGAGTGGCAAGCCAGGAAGTGGCTTCATAGTCTCAGTTTCCCCGCAAGGCGCTCCCCTCACGCGTCCTCTCACTGCCTTGGAGACCAGGGTGTCCTGTGGGTCCTGGCAGACACCACCACGTTGCCCCTCCTCCAGTCTCTTCTCATTCGACCTAATGACTGAGGCTGGTCTTGTGGACACTGCTCCTTCCCCGCTGCCTCCCACCGCGGTAGTGGAGAGCCTCCAGTGGGATCGGGGATCCCCCAGGGATCGGGGAGAGCTCCCAGCGGGATCAGGGAGCCCCGGGTGATGGCGGAGAGCCCCCGTCGATGGCGGAGAGCCCCGGTGATGGCGGAGAGCCCCCGGTGATGGCGGAGAGCCCCCAAGGATCGCGGAGAGCCCCGGTGATGGCGGAGAGCCCCCTGTGATCGCGGAGAGCCTCGGTGATCGCGGAGAGCCCCGGTGATCGCGGAGAGCCCACTGTGATCGCGGAGAGCCCCGGTGATGGCGGAGAGCCCCGGTGACCGCGGAGAGCCCCAGCGGGATCGGAGAGCCCCCTGTGATCGCGGAGAGCCCACTGTGATCGCGGAGAGCCCCCTGTGATCGCGGAGAGCCCCCTGTGATCGCGGAGAGCCCCCTGTGATCGCGGAGAGCCCCCTGTGATCGCGGAGAGCCCCCTGTGATCGCGGAGAGCCCCCGTCGATCACGGAGAGCCCCGGTGATGGCGGAGAGCCCCGGTGATCGCGGAGAGCCCCGGTGATCGCGGAGAGCCCCCGTCGACGGCGGAGAGCCCCCAGGGATCGTGGAGAGCCCCTGTGATCGCGGAGAGCCCCGGTGATGGCGGAGAGCCCCGGTGATCGCGGAGAGCCCCGGTGATCGCGGAGAGCCCCGGTGATCGCGGAGAGCCCCGGTGATGGCGGAGAGCCCCCAGGGATCGTGGAAAGTCCCCAGAGGTAGCGGAGAGCCCCAGCGGGATCGGAGAGCCTGTTTATAGTCCTGTGTTTAGGAATTTGCCCCACAGATTCCCTGAGAGCCAACAGGAAACGAGGCTGATGCTGAGCCTGTGGAGGTTTGGCCGTCGCCGGCTTCGGGTCTTTTTTTTTTTTTTTTTTTTTTTTCCTTAATTTTTATTGTTCATATTATTACAAATGTCCCTTCCCACCCCACCCTCTGCCCTTTCCCCTCCCCCCATTGTCCTCATCCATAGGTGCACAGTTTATGTTCAGTCTCTTCCCACATCCCCCTCTCCCCTTTTCCCCAAGAATCATCAGTTCACTCCCCTTCCATACCTCTGATTCTATTATATTCAACAGTTAATATTGTTCATTAGATTTTTTTTTTAATTTCCTTGGTTTTTAGATTCACTTGTTGACAGTTACGAATTTGTTGTTCATAATTTTTATCTTTATTTACTTTCTCTTCTGAAAGAACCCCCTTCAGCAATTCATATAATTCTGGTTTGGTGTTGATGAACTCCTTTAGCTTTTTTTTATTAGTGAAGCTCTTTATCTGACCTTCGAATCTGAGTGATAGCTTTGCTGGATAGATTATCTTTGGCTGTAGGTTCTTACTATTCATCACCTTGAATATTTCTTGCCATTCCCTTCTGGCCTGCATGGTTTCTGTTGAGAAGTCAGCTGACAATCGTATAGGTGCTCCTTTATAGGTAACTACCTGCTTAGCTCTTGCTGCTTTTAATATTTTCTCTTTGTCTTTTGCTCTTGGAATCTTAATTATGATTTGTCTTGGTGTGGTCCTCTTTGGATTCCTTTTATTTGGAGTTCTGTGTGCTTCCTGGACTTGTAAGTCCAATTCTTTCCCCAGGTGGGGGAAGTTTTCTGTCACTATTTCTTTCAATATGTTTTTGATATCTTGCTCTCTCTCATCTTCTGGGACCCCCATAATTCTGATGTTGGATCGTTTGAAGTTGTCCCAGAGGTTTCTTACATCATCTTCAATTTTCTGGATTCTCTTGCCTTCTAGCTTCTGCAGAGGAGTATCTTCTGGCTCTTTATGTTCCAAATCTTTGACTTGATTCTTGCGATCTTCTATTCTGTTTTTAGGACTCTGTATAATAGTTTTTATTTCAGACAATGTATTCTTTATTTCTTGTTGATCCCTTTTCATATCCTCATAAGTCTCATTTATTTTATCCGCCTTTTCTAGGAAACTCTTGAAAAACCTTATAAGTGTGGTTTTGAACTCTATATCCAGTCGCTTTTTGTCCTCCATTTCTTTCATTTGTGATCTATTTGGTTTAGGCATTTTCGCAGGCAGCTTTCCTGATGGGGCGGGGTTTCAGGGTGGAGCCTACAGCTTTGGCTTCCGTCAGCCCTGCCCTATGCGACTCCTGAGACTCAGGGTCCTTCAGTACTTGTTGTAAGCGCCTCTGAGAGAAAGGCGCCCTCGATTTTCGCCTGCTGCCAAACAGTCAATGCTCTCCCCCACTGAGCCCGGAACTGGGGTTCAGTTCAGTTGGAAGTGGAGTTGGAGGTGGCGTTCAGAGCAGTCTGGAGCCCCTGTCTCCTTCCCGCCAGGCAATCCCGCGGCACAGCCGGCCGTCTCTGCGCGGCGCCGCCAGGACCTCCTTTCGCCTCTTCCCCGGGTTCCGCCTTTCAGCCCGGCTCCCTCTGTGTGAGCCTGGGTCCCCGGGGTCTGGCCTAGGCCTGGGGTTCAGAGCAGTCAGAATGGGGCCCAGCACAGTCGGAGCTTTTATCTCCTTCCCGCCAGGGAACGCCCGCCAGGCACTCCGCCGCCCTCCTCTCCGGCTCCGTCCTCTCCGCGCGCCGCGTGTCTCCGTACCTTAGGCTTTTCCAGCTCCTCCGCGCTTCCTTCTGGTTATCTCCTTGCTTCTTGTTGTAGAATTTCCAGTCAGTCGACTTTCCTGTAGTTCTGGGTGATGTCCATTTTATATTTTAGTTGTATTTTATTAAAATTGTTGCGTGCGGCTGCGGCTAGGTGCCTACCCGAGCAGCCATCTTGGATTCTCCTCCAGAGTCGGCTTCGGGTCTTGCCAGAGACGTGCCCTTTTCTCTAATGATCCCCGCGTCTCCTGTTTCCGGAGCATTTTCTGTGCATTCGGCACTCTGAGGCGGCCACTGAGTCACGGTGACACAGGGACACTGTGGAGTATGGCCGCTCCCCTCCCGCCCTCCCAGGATCTGGGGTGGAGGACGCTGCTCCCGTCTCTCCCCTTGTCCTTGCCAGTCTGGCGCTCGGCTTCCTCCCTCCGGTGCGTGCAGTCCACACAGGGCCGTTCTCAGTGGAAGTGGGGAGGTCAGAGGTCTTCCCTCGTCTCCGCTCCCTAACGATCATTCACTTCTGCCTTCCCCATCCCGGCCTCGGCAGGGAGCCAGTCGCTACCTTATTACCCCTTTCCCAGTTCCCACGCAGCCAGGACAATCGCACTGATCTTTACTGAGCACTGACTGCCGTGTGTGCGGGGTGCCGAAGGGGCATTCACCCTCACAGAGCCTGCAACCCAAGGACAGACACAATTGTACCAAGACAAACTGCCCTATTATACTAGCTCCGCAGCCTGGCCAGCGTGGCTCAGTGGCTGAGCATCAGCCTGTGAACCAGGAGGTTACAGTTCAATTCCCGGCTAGGGCACAGGCCCGGGTTTTGCGGGCTCGATCTCCAGTGTGGAGCGTGCAGGAGGCAGCTAATCAATTATTCTCTCTCATCCTTGATGTTTCTATCTCTCCCTCTCCCTTCCTCTCTGAAATCAATACAAACACACACACACACACACACACACATATATATATGAGACCCAGTGCACATTTGTGCACTGAGGGAGGGGTCCCTCAGCCCGGCCTGCACCCTCTCAGTTCGGGATCCCTCTGGGGATGTTTGCTTTTCGGTTTAGGCCCGCTCCTAGGCCGGCAGGCGGACATCCACCAAAGGGTCCTTAGCGCTGCCGGGGAAGCGAGAGAGGCTCCCACCACCACTGCACTTGCCAGCTGTCGCTCCTCCCTATAGGAACGCACTGACCACCAGGGGGCAGCTCCTGCATTGAGCGCCTGCCCCCTCGTGGTCAGTGTGCATCATAGCGACAGATGTTTCTGCCTTTTGGTCGATTTGCATATTAGCCTTCTATTATATAGAATACACACACACAATAGTCATACACAAAACACTGCCAGTGAAGTTTAATTTATACTGGCATGTGGTATCAGGGAAGGCTTCAGGGAGGAAGTGGCATTTGCAATGAGCCTTGAGGAAGACTGAGTAGATGTTCCCTGGAGAAAGGGTGATCTGGGTGAAGGAACAGCATACACAAGGGCACAGAGGAGCTGTCGTGTGGGTGTGGGGAGGAGTGTCACAGAAGCTGACTCGGAGAGGGAGGCGTGGGGAGGCGATGGTGGGAAACGGGTGTGAGGGCTGCTCCCTGTTGCCGGTGAGCTTAGTGGCTGGTTGTTTCTACGTAGGACACCTTTTCAGAAGCAGATACAACAGAACTGTCTTCTCCAGGGGCTCCCACCTCAGTAAGGCCTGCAAGTCCAGCACCTGCGGCCTGAGTTAGTGAAAGGCAATGGCTACTGTTGAAACATGAGTTAGCGCCTAAATGGTGCATGAACTTGAAGTCTGCCAGCAGAGCAAACCTTTCTTCCTTCGCTTTGCTCAGCTTTTATTATTATTTTTATTATTGTTTGAAGTATTACAAATAGTAGTACATATGTCTCCCCCCCCCCCATTGACCTCCCACCCACCCTGGCCTCCCCTCCCCCCTTGCTCAGCTTTCAAACCCAGCCCTTTGCCTCCTCTTCTTAAAACACTGAGTGCCACTCACTCATTGCAGCAGCTGTCTCAAACGGCTCAGAAAATGTGGTGCCCGCCTGATAATGTGCCCTTGTTAAAAAGCTGTACCCAAAACGTACCAGGTATGAAAAAATCCCCTATTGCATGCAAACTACGTTGGGTGTAACCGGAGAAAGGAAAGCGTGTAGATGCTTAAGTTTTCTTTTTCGTAGAAAAGGTGAAAAATAAAGGCCCTGTCAGTCTCTTTTTCAGGGGCTTTTTCAGAATCTGTGATGAGGCTGGAGTGAGAGAGCCGGTTCAGACCTGCATTTAAATTCAAACCCCAAAAAATAACAGAGGGAAGGAAGGAAGTGAGGGAGGGAGGCAGGAAGAAAGTAAGGAAGGAAGTTAGGAAGGAAGGAAGGAAGGAAGGAAGGAAGGAAGGAAGGAAGGAAGGAAGGAAGGAAGGAAGGAAGGAAGGAAGACATAAATTGTCCAAATCCACAGAATGAACACCAAGAATGAAGTCTGTGTAAACTATGGAACTTGGATGACATGACGTGTCCACGCAGGTTCATCAGCTGACGAACGTGCCCTCCAGGGGCGGGTGTTGATGGCGGGGAAGGCGGAGCATGTGAGAGCAAGGGGTCCCTGGGAAGTGTGCCCTTTCTGCTCAATTTCGCTGTGACCCTAAAATTGCTCTAGAAACGAAGTTTATTAATTACCTTTAAAAGGAGGAAGAAAGGCACTGAGCACTCTTCTTCCCGACAAAAGGTAAAACGATAAGGAATACCAGGCTGCCTTCTTTTACCCCCACCCCCTTGCCCGGAAAGAGAAAGGAATCACACCCACACCGCGCTCTCGGCTTCTGTCCGAGGTGCTGAAGTTTATTCATTTTCAAACGTCTTTCCATCACAGGTGAGGAGGTACCGTAAAACTTAATGCACGGGGAGGGCGAGGCGGGGCAGCCATGGGGAAGCCATTTCATCTACATTCAGCGTAAAATGTGAGACATGGCGACAGGCAGCAGGAAGAGGGTGCTCGTCACAGCTCCAGTGGCCGGCGATGAGACGGGACAAGGAGGAGTGGCAGACCCGGGGGGCCCGGCCACTATCTCCGGTACTACAAAGGAAACACGGGCACGGTTAGCGCGGCGGCCTGGCTCTCACAGGACAGTGCTCACATCCCACCAGCCCCCGCTTCAGCCCGACCGCCCTCTGAGTTGCGTGAACCGACAAACAAGTCGCTCTCTAGACACTTAGTCGTAAGGTCAATCCTGGTCCGTTTCAGTCGACCTTTAGGATCTGACAGTTCCGGGGAGGGAACATCACCTGCCAACCAGCAGGATGACAGTGACTTGGTCCCATGGACACGTTAAGTACCCGATGCTCAAGGCAGTGACTTTTTTTTTTTCCTCAGGAAGCGGTAGCTAAGGAGGAGGCCATGGTCCCTAGGTTCATGGGCCAGGCCCCCTGTTGGGGCAGACACTTCTAAGGGGGTAGCGTCTGTGCCAGTCCCTCTCCCAGGGAGGGCACCACCGCGGTGCCTTCTATGACGAGGCATGAGACTCGGTGAAACACCTTCCTGCCTCCCCGCCCCGTTTCCACCCGCATCCAGGCCCTCTCACCCGGAAGCTGTTGCAGCCCAGGCCGCTCTGGGCCCCGATCCTGTCCATCCGGCCCCCGAAGCAGCTGGACCTCCGCAGGCTTCGGGGGGCGGCGAGCAGTGCCCTCAGCTTGCTCTTCAGGAGGGCAGACCTGTCGGAGGCGTCCCAGGGGCCCCGCCCCAGGGTCCCCTCCTCCCTCAGGGCTGGGCTGACCTCCCCCGTCCAGGGCGGCAGCTCGGGGAGGGGGCTGAGCGCGGCCCCGGCTTCCTCGTTCTGCTCGCTCAGTCCCTGCGGGGGCAGCATCTCGTCTTCCAGAGGCATCTTGTCCTCCAAACGGTCCAGCAGATTCTTGACGAAGGGAACACACAGGGAAAGAGAGAGGTCTCACTGACTGGCAGAGTCTCCCCATCACCCCTCTCCCCCAGGGCCCCAGACCAAGCCCCTACCTTGAAATCCATCAGGTCGGCGTTGGCCACGGAGCCATACACGGGGTTGGCTCTGGTCTGCCCTGGGAGCTGGACCACCAGGAGGAGGAGGAGGCTGGCGGTGATGGTGGAGCAGGAGCCCATGCTGGCGGCGTTCGGTCGGGGAGTGGTCTGCTGCTGGCTGCCTTCTCTCTCTCTCTCTCCTCTCCGGCTCCTCTCCGCTGACCTTCGCTCGGCTCCGGCTCCCGGCTGCCCTGCGCCTCCTCTTTTTATAGCCCCCCCGGCTCTCGGAGAGCGCAGGAAGGACAGAACCCTCCCCATTCTGTCACTTGCCGCGATAAAGCGCAGCGTGAGGAGCCAGCAGAAGATGCCCTTTTAAAGTTATCGGCCCGGCCGGCTGGCCGCTCCACCGCCCCTCGCCTTGAGCAGCCCCAACCGCCTCTGGGAGCCTCGGCGGCAGGAGCCACATTCTTGTTGATTTGCCTCAAGAGGTCCCCACTTCAAAGGTGTGAGAAGAGCAAAAAAGAGTTCTTGGTTATCTCGCAGCAATGCGCTGCCGTCTCCGCCTCGCTGCCTTCTCCGGGGCAACGGGTCCCATGCCGGGAAGCCGCCCAGTGGGTCTGCGGCTCGGCTGCCCGGGCGCCATATAAGGGTGGGAGAGGAGGAAGTGGGGGCGGCCGGCCCGAGGGACAAATTAGTCCCGATGCTCGCACCTGACTCATCAGCGGCCAGGGCAGAGCCCCGCGGTCCACGGGGCTGCCCTCTGCTGTTGGCAGCTGCAGCCAGCGGCCAGGGGGAGAGGGGGTGGTTTTCCTGAGCACTAACTCAACCGGGGACCAAAGGCGATGAACGCCCCAAGGATGCAGCTCCCAAACATGAGCACCAAGAAAAGTCTGGGGAGCCCAGGCATTCCTCTGCCGAGCTCCGCCCCCTTCGCCCCGTGGCCCCTCCAAGGTGCCGAGGGAGACAGGCCCCGAGCGAATGACTCCTTTCCTGTCGCTGCCTCGAGGAGCTCAGATTCTTTGAGTCTGAAGCTGGTCATACTCCCAGGAGGCGGGTGGTATTGTACCGCTGACTGAAGGATGGAACTGAGACTAGGAACTCAGGTCACTTGCTCAAGGTCATAAGCGGCAGAACCAGGACTTGAACCGCAGGCCTGATAGCCACGCCCATGTCTTTCAGCCATCTCATGGAGACCTTGGCTCCTTAGCAAGGTGGCTCCTGGCGACCCTTTGGTGCAGTCCCTGGTGAAATGCACCCTGCTCCCCCCTCTCGGGCTGCCTCTGAGCGGCACCTCGTCTCCCAGGGGCTGTGGCTTTGCGTTTGCGGCAGGTATGTGCGTGTGTGCACGCGCATGTGTGTGTGTGTGTGTGTGTGTGTGTGTGTGTGTGGATTGTCTCCAGGACAATGCCATATCCAACCTCCTCGACCTCACGGACACAGCTGACACGTCTGCCCAGGAGCTCAGGAAGTGAGTGTTGGTGACCGGCTTCCTCCCAGCCGGACCCTCCCCCGCTGTGCCCACTCCTGGGCCCACGGGCAGCGAGTGCCGAACATGGCGGTGGTTTTATTCTGAGACGGAGAAAGGATCCCTGTCAGTCACCGGTTTGGGTCGGCCAGTCTCAGCCTGAAATCAAAAGGGGCGTCGCCCTGAGCAGAAACTCTGGGGGCACAGAACCGTGGCTCCCTGATGAGCCCCCGGAATGTGCCCAGGCTTAATTGCCAGATTGGCAGGGTTATTATTAGCGAGGAGGGCTCACACAGCCGTCTCCTGGAGATGCCCTTTAGCACGGGCTTTGATGCCGAAGAGGACCTCCCTCCGGGAGGGCGCCGATCGATCCCGATCGTGGCGGGTGGCCGCTGAGGGCCCACCCTGCCCTGCGCCCTCAGCCACTTCCAGAGTCAGCGGGAGGCCCGAGGAGAAGAGGAAGTCCTGCCCAAGGTTCCAGAAAGAGAACTCAGAACCCACCCCCCGCCTCTGACTCCAGTCGGGGTCCCTCCCCCAGGGGTGGGGGTCAGTGCCAGCCACTGAGTGTCAGTTAGCCAGGCTTGGTCTGTTGGTTCACAGAAGGCGCTGGGAGAAAAAGAACGTTTTTGCTGCCCTGAGGACTTTGTATGGAACCAATACTGCCTCCTGCGCTCATGGGACCCCGAAAAAACACAGGCAGTTCCAAAATACACCCATTTCCCCCAAATCCCAGGAAACCCAGGGGCTTGAGCCTGAAATGGACTTGACATGAAGCTTCTCTTTCTTTCCATGCTCCTGCTCAGTTGGGGGAGGGGGGAGGGTTTAGTGTATGGAGGAGCAAGTATGTAATGGGGTGTTTAGGAACCAGCCTGGAAGAGAGAAAGAGAAGAAGAGCAAAAGGCACAGAAAACCACCTCCACCCCCACCCCTTCCACTGGCTGCCAAACCAAAGGCCTTCAGCTCCTCCCCACTGGGAAGAAGCCACGCTGGTCATTGACCGAGTGATCATTGCAAACGGCTGGGAGAATCCAGAATTGGGGTAACCCCATGGGGATGCTGTGGGCAGCTCTGGGGAGCCCTAAGGTCCAGGGGTGTCACACATGCATACCTGGCATGAGAAGCCCATCCTATTCGTGGCACGAGTCTGTCAGACCCAAGTGGGTCTAACGCAGAAGGCCCGGTTGGGAGAAATGGGTAGGGCACTGTTGCCTACGTAGGGATGGTTGTTTCTGACTCTGAACACGATGTTCTGTGTCTTCGGTACAATATGGAGGTTCCCGGGATGGGAAGCGGGAACAGATCCCCTAGAAAACAAAGCCCCCAAGGGGAAACTCATTTGCATAAAGCATTCTGGGGTTCCGGTCCAAGGGAAGCATGCGCGAGGGGGAAAGGGAAGTGAGGTGGTGTATTCGTCGGCTATTGCTGCGTAACAAAGCACCCCGAACCTCACCAGCGTCAAACAGCACGCCCCGGCTGGTGTGGCTCAGTGGGTTGGGTGTCACCCTGAGCACGGAAAGAGACTGGGCAGCTCTGAGGCTGTGCATGGATCAGCTGCAGGAAGCCGCTGCATCCCAGCACTTCGCACAGAGCCAGCACCTGCTGCTGCGTTAGCAAAGCATCCGATCGTTCTCTGAATGACTGCATCAGTGAGTTTGCCTTCCGGGCCTCTTGGACACGCCCTGTCCCAGGTGCATGCGGGCACCTTGCCCTCCCTGGGGGCCTCACAGGAAGGAGGAGTCAGACTCAGACTGAAGCATGAAGGGTCTGCTCTCTCCCTGGTGAGGGAAGAGCCCCGTCAGGAACCGGGTCGGAGAGGCCAGTTAGGAAGCTGGTACGCCAACGTCTGCACAAGTGGTGAGGGTCTCAGCCAGGATGGCAGCGAAGGACAAGGCGCAAGAGGTGCCCGGAAGGGAAGGGATGGACGGTGCCTGCCTGGGTGGTTCAGCCCAGAAGGGAACCCAGGAAGCTTGCCGGGGCTCTCACCACCGAGGGTGGGGCCGGGGGAGAAGGCGGAGTCATTCTGGAGCGTCTCCAGAACCTGAGACAAGGAGTCAAGTCAAAGTCGTTTCCTTTGGAGCGGAAGCCAGGAGAGAGGGGAAGTGACGAGGCTACGCAGGAAGTCAGTGACCACCTTGGGCAACTGGAGCTTATCCCTCCCTCCCCGCAGAGAACTCTGGGAGCCAGGTCAGATGGGTCCCACCTGGGCTCTTTAAGTGCCCACGCCTGCCCGATGCTGGGTGAGTGCACCTCCTGCCCGCCCCAGGGGAGCCCAGTGGGCTCTGGCAGCCAGAGGAAAGTGGGAACTGCTGGCCCTGGCTGGTCTGGCTCAGTGGATAGAGCGTCAGCCCAAGGACTGAAGGGTCCCGGGTTCGATTCCGGTCAAGAGCACACGCCTCAGTTTCAGGCTCGATCCAGCCCTGGTTGGGACACACCGGAAGGTAACCAATCCCTGTGTATGTGTCTCTCTCTCTCTGTCTCCCCCCCCTCCTTTCCACTCTCTCTAATGATCAATGAGGAAAATGTCCATGGGTGAGGATTAACAAAAAAAATAATAAAATAAAATAGGGGGTGGGGGTTAGTGGGGGAAGAAAGTACGAACTGCTGAATGGAATTGCGGCCGGTGCCCTGAGGCTGAGGGCAGGGACGGTGCCCAGTGGAGAGGAGAGCCCTCGGGCACAGCACGGGGAGCCCAGGACAGGCACTAGTCTGGGTTCAGAAACGCTTCAGGACATCCAGGCCGCTGCCTGGGGCTGGCTCCTGACCCGGTGAAACAAACAGGCCACTCGGTGGAATCAGACTGATCGGTAAAGCTGTTCTGCTACCTTTCCTCTCGGGTCAGGTGACGAAGATGAGCCCCTCCCAGAACACCCAGCCAAACCCTCACAATCCTCCCAGGTGGGCCTGCTCTCCCATCCCACCAGCAAGCCTGACTCACTGGCTTGGGGGAGGCCGGGTGGTGCAGTGGTCAGGGGCCTGGGTGCCGGGGCCCAGCTGGGAGGGCTGGAACCCTGACTCGGCCCCTCACTCACTTCGTGACCCTGAGCAAATTCCATCGCTTCTCTGTGCCTCAGTTTCCCCATCTGTGAAGTGGGAGATAAGAATTTTTCGCAGAGCTGTTGTCAGGAACATAGGTAAAGTTGGCTCACTGTTTTATTGGCAAATAAATTGTTCCTAAAGCCTCATTTTATACACTGCGTAGCCAGATTATTATGATATCTGAATGCATAATAATCTGGCCACTCAGTATATTATAGTAGAGGCCCAGTGCATGAATTCCTGCACGGGTGGGGTCTGGTCAGCCTGGCCAGGGGGAGGGGACATGGGTGGTTGGCTGGCCGGCCTGCCTGCTGGTTGAACTCCTGGTCTAGGGAACAATTTGCATATTAGCCTTTTATTATATAGGATATACATTGCATTGAGCCATTATAATAGTCTGGCCACTCAGTGTAAATCTCAGTAGATCTCATTAGGCAGCCATGATCTCTGATGCACAGTGGGTTACAGTGAGAAACAGCACAGAGACCCACTGCTTCCCTTTCTCTCAAAGAAACATTGGTGGGACGAACAGAATGACTGTGTGAGTGCAGTTCGAGGCCAGAGCTCCAAGGAGGAGCAAGGCAGAGGAGTCCCCAGGATCTGCGCCCCCATCTCAGCGCTGGCGCTGAACAGCTGCATGCTGACGGTAGGACAGCTTCCTTTTCCGGGTCTCAGTTTTCTCATCTGTAAAATGGGGTTATAATAATCTGCCTCCTTTGCTGCGTTGGATCATAAAAGGAATGGCCCCAGGACCTGAAGAGCAGGTGCAGGCTCAGTGCAGCCTGGGGTGCCTAAAATGCAGGGGGAGTGCCCCCAGAAGACAGGGTGGGGTCCCGGTAGGGTCCTGACTGAGGCAACAGGTTGGATTCTGGTGCTTGTCTCCTCTTCTGCCTTAAACAAGGGGTTTCTCTCTCTGGGGCAGAGAGGAAGTGAGGCTGCAGGGCCCAGTGGAGGGACGCCCTGAAATGCTGGGCCTCTTGATTGACTCTCTGAAGCTGGTGGGTTTGGGGAATGAAACTGCTTTAAAACTTGGGTTTTTTTGCCGAAACCGGTTTGGCTCAGTGGATAGAGCGTCGGCCTGCGAACTGAAAGATCCCAGGTTCGATTCCGGTCAAGGGCATGTTCCTTGGTTGTGGGCACATCCCCAGTGAGGGATGTGCAAGAGGCAGCTGATGGATGATTCTCTCCCATTGATGTTTCTAACTCTCTATCCCTCTCTCTTCCTCTCTGTAAAAAATCAATAAAATATTTTTTAAAAATAAAAATAAACTTGGGGGTTTTGAAGGCACCTTTCAGATGATGTCATGAATTGAAGGCGTGAAATTGGGGGTTTATGTGAGGATGGAGGGCTCACCCCATTCAGGAGTGCAAATGAGATGTGTCTTGGCACTTGTGCACAGGCGTATGCGCGTGTGCATCTGTGTGTGTGTGTGTGTGTGTGTGTGTGCACATCACACACACTCTGCCCCCAGGCTCAGAGGTGTTAGCTTAGAACAGGGGTTCTCAACCTTCCTACTGCCTCATGTTGTGGTGACCCCCAACCATAAAATTATTTTCCTTGCTACTTCATAACTGTAATTTTGCTACTGTTAATGTTCGTAATACAAATATCTGTGTTTTCTGATGGTCTTAGGCGACCCGCTACCAGTTCTCAACCTGGGGGTCACAACATAAGAAACTGTATTAAAGGGTCGAGGCATTAGAAAGGTTGAGAACCACTAACTTAGACCTTCTGGAAACGGCAGGCACCAGGGAGAGGGCCTCTGACGGACCCTCCGGCAGAGGAAAGACCGGTGGGACGCACCCTCACGCTGCACGTAAACATCAGGCCCCGTGCTGCTCTTTGGAAAACAGTCTCTGGGAAGTGTCTCAATTGCTTGAGGTATTTCTAGACGTTTCAGAGCATGAAGACTCTTACAGGAAAAAAGAGCCTCCCCAGCCAGCTGGTGTGGCTCAGTGGTTGAGTGTAGACCTATGAACCAGGAGGTCATGGTTTGATGCCTGGGGAATGCAGCCTCAATCCCCAGCAGGGGGCGTGCAGGAGGCAGCCAATCAATGATTCTGATCATTGATGTTTCTATCTCTCTCTCCCTCTCCCTTCCTCTGTGAAATCAATAAAAAATATATTTTAAAAATAAATAGAGAAGAAAAGATAAAAAGCCTCCTCCACCCCCTTGCTTGACCAGCGCTTGAGGCTGTGTTCCCACCATTAAGACACCTTCGGGGCCTCCAAGAAAACACGTAGTTTGGGGTTGTTGTTTGGTGTTTTTGTTGTTTTATGATGAACTATTTTGAATACACTGAGACAAACCAGTTTCCAAAGAAAAAGCTTTAATGTTGACTTTACCTCATCATGGAAAATGAGGGCCCAAAGGTAAGAACTGTCTTATATAAAACAATCCAATAAATTAAGAAATAATAAATAAATAGGAGTTGCTTCAAAGGGGACCAAGGGTCGATGGCGAGTCAGGCATGGATCTCTGCAGCCAGGACTTCCTCCTAAGGCCTCTTCAGCACTGTGGGGGAGAGAGGTGATGTTGGTGAGGGAGAGGGAGAGGGGCAGATCCTAGCTTCTCCCCCAGAGCCATCCCCGCCCCCCCCCGCCCCCGTCCTCAGCTGATCTGGGCATTTGATGCTTTGGAATAATCCATCTCGGATTCTCAGTTTCCCGTGAACGGGATTGTGTCCGTCCTGGTGACCATGCCCTCAGTCTTTGCAGCTACAAACGGGAGGGGAAACCAGGAGGAAATATTTAGGGCTCTCTTTGCTACAAGGAGGGGCTGCCAGGCAGGACTGCCTTGTGGTAACAGCTGCAGGTGGAGGCTGGTGGGCGTGGTCATGAATGGTGTCCACAAGGAGATGGCTCCAGAAAGGCACCCCTTGGCCCTGAGGCCCATCAGCGAGAGGGAGTGATGTCCGGGTGGCCCCTTCTCAGAGTGTGGTCCCAAGAGACAACGCACCATGCAGGCGTGCCTGAACTGGTGGGAGCCACGGAAATGGGGTAGGGGGATGCCCAGGGTGGCTGGGTGGGAGCTCACCATTGCAGCCCAGACCCGTGAAGGAGCCGATGCGGTCCATCCTCCCGCCGAAGCAGCCCAAGTCGCGCATCCTCTTGGGGCCGCGGAGGACGTCCCGGGGCCCGAGGCCGGCAGCGGAAGCTGCACGTCTGGTCTCCCCGACTGCCTTAGACCCGCGTCCCTGCTGGGGGGGCTCCGGGGCGGCCTGCTCCTCCTGTGATTTCCCCCCTGTGCCCGGAAGATGGTCCGGCGGCTCCTGCAACAGATGGGAAGAGCCTCGGGAACCCTCACCTGAGCCCAGCCACCCTCGATGGTGAACCAACCCCTTGGGCACAGGGTCCTGGCTCCCAGTCTCGCCACTCTCCGGCTCTCAGGGTGACCTCTGTGAGGGCAGGCGAAGGCCTGTTCATTTCGGCTGCCCGGTACCCAGTCCTGCTGCCTCTGTGCAGCCCTGCACTGCTCACCTGGGCTCCGGACAGTTCCGAGTGGGGGGCTGGGCTAGGGCCACCCAGCGGGTGCGAACGACCTAGCGGCATCAGGTGCAGGAACAGAAGGAGCAGGAGAGCCCTGGACAGCCCCGTCTGCAGGTCCATGTCGCTGGAGAAGCTTGTAGAAGCTGCTGCTGCTGCTCTGTCCTGGTTTTCCGGCTCACCTCCCGTTCCTCGGGCGGGCACTCTCCTGGGTCCTCCCATATCCAGGGCCTTTTATCCTGAGCCTGGGTGCCCACAGGCCCTGCCCTCTGGGGTTATCTCCGATTTATCAGTCACATTCCCACCCGCTGAGCTCAGGGCCGGGGAATGCACCCCTCCATGCCTGGGACGCTACTGGCCAGGGGTGGGGGCGGAGGAGAGCAGGCCTTGTATAGAAATGGGACTGGCTGCAGGCAGGAGCGCAGGACTGCGGGGGGAGGAGAGTTAGGGGGTATCTTCACCTCCCCTTCCATTTCCCTGCAAAAATCCCGAGACCTAAGTGTGACTCCTTCCCCTTCCCTTCCCACCCCAACCATTCTGGAAAGGGCAGGGGGAACTTCAGCTTATGGAGGCTCTACACAAGTGCAGGGTGCAGGGGTGACTGCACCAGCAACCCCCCACCCCTGCACCCCTACAGCGCATCTTCCCTTACCTCCCACCAGCTCCTTTGCTCTGACCTCCAGCCTGCTGGTCTACCCTGTGTCCTGCTCGCTGTCCATGGTCCTGATCTCCCTGAGCAAATTCAACACAAGAGGTTTTCCTCCAGCATTGTAGGGCTAGCCAGAGGGACAAGCGTGGGGCAGGGACAAGACTCCCTCCCCTGACCCTCCCACAGCCCCCTGCACTAGGATGCCAATTCTCCAGTGTCACCTCCGCCAAAGTCTGGGTGTGACGAGGAACTTCTGGAATGCTGACCCTGCTTCCAACCCTTACAGGGTAGAGCTGATTTGGCTGGAATTTTGAGAGGCAAGGCCTCGAGATGAAGTCATCCAGAAAGACCTCCAGGTGCCAACACCTCTTCTCCGTCACCACGCAGCATATAACGGAAAAGGCAGGGGGAAGCGGGGGGTGGTTATCTGTCTGGTGGGGTCCTGGGGAGGGGGGGAGGAGTGCCCTCCCTCATGCCTCCTCCTGTTGCTCATCTCTGGTCTACTTCCCCTTAGCAGACAGTCAGGACCGCTCGTCTGTGATTACAAACGAGGCTGCAAAGAAAGGCAGCCCTGGGAAGAGACACAGCAGATTAACCCCCCGAGACTACGCGTGACCAGGGTCACCACCCTTCCCGATAACCTGTGTTACCGGGCAGCAGGCTGAGGGGGCAGGTCACCCAGGAAGGAAGATGGCTTATGACAGAGTGGAGAAAGGACATCACGGGGCAGAAGCTATGGTTTCTAAGCAAATCTTGCCTTTTTTATTAAAAAAAAAAATAGCATCTGCCAAATACAAGTGACAAAACTACTGTTATTGTCCCTCCGTTTTCAGATCAGGACACTGAGCTCATAGGAGTTCATTCAAACACACACACACACACACACACACACACACACATACACACACACACTGTACATAGATGAAGTGGCAGCGAGAGAGATGGCAAAATCCAGCCACGTGGGAAGCGGGGTTCGAGGCGTGGAGGCCGCCGAGGATGGAGAGGGTCCCACAGAGGACTATCGAGGAGAATGGCCTGCCTCTATGAAAAGGGCAGGAGTGTTGAAACCGGTTTGGCTCAGTGGATAGAGCGTCGGCCTGCGGACTGAAAGGTCCTGTGTTCGATTCCGGTCAAGGGCATGTACCTTGGTTGTGAGCACATCCCCAGTGGGGGGTGTGCAAGAGGCAGCTGATTGATGATTCTCTCTCATCGATGTTTCTAACTCTCTATCCCTCTCCCTTCCTCTCTGTAAAAAAAATCAATTAAAAATATTTTTTTTAAAAGGAAGGAAGGAAGGAAGGAAGGAAGGAAGGAAGGAAGGAAGGAAGGAAGGAAGAAAAGAAAGAAAGAAAGAAAGAAAGAAAGAAAGAAAGAAAGAAAGAAAGAAAGAAAGAAAGAAAGAGAAGAAAGGGCAGGAGTAATGGCCACTCCACCTGCTGGCCGCGTCCTTCCAGAAGCTCTGCTGTGCCGAGGCCACCAGCTCTAACCTACTCACCTTCGAACCCCCTCCCCTGTGGCTGGTGCGGGGAACTGCCAAACCCCAGATCTGGGCTCGGTATTTGTGCGGTGGGCTGTCAGACAGGCTCAGCAGAACAGGACGATGGACAAAGGTACAGGAAGTAACCAGGGCGGAAAGCCCCAGGTGCCAAACAAAGAACAATTATGGGGGGAACCTCACCCCCAGGGTGGCCTTTCCTCCCTAGCAGATGGCTGGTCCTGAGGTTTGGACCCCTGACCTCTCCTCCCTGGAGAGGGCATCCAGGCCTCAGTTGTATGTCAGCTCCAGGCCCAGAGAAGCAGCCAATCAAGACCAGAGAGCCCACGGCTGCCTCAGAGCCGCTGCCCTGAATAACATCCCTGCCCTGGGGCCCGCCAACCAACAGTGCAGACCCAGCCCTGACAGGACACCTGGAAAGCTGCTGGGTATTCTACTGAGACTTCCCCTGCGACCTCCCCTAAGATCTCCCTTAAGACCCTTAGGACGGAGGACCCGGCACGCTCTCTCCTAGCTGCAGCTCCTCCTCCCAGGAGCCCACCAGCGGGCCCTTCCCCCTCCATCCCCCTCAGCCTCCCCTTCCTCCAGGGGTGTTGCCATAGCCTTCCTGGCCCCCAAGCTCCAAGGCCCTTCCTTTGCCTCTACACCTTGTTTTCCTAAGCCAGCTCTTCGGTGAATGACTTCTGCCTCTGTGCTTTACCCAATAAATCTTCTCATAGTTTGGCTCTTGGCTCTGCATTCTTTCCTGGCCAGAACCCAAGAGCCAAGGTTGCTGAACCCAGGTCCAGTCGGACCCCATGGGTCTAACACCTCATGCCGTTCCTGCCCTGCAACAGCTGGACACTTAGGTGGACGTCAGCTTTCTGGGACTGATTTTGTCGATGACCTCTGCTTCCTTCCTCTCCCTCCTCCTCCTCCTTCCTTCTTCTTCTTCTTTTTTAAAATATATTTTATGGATTTTTTACAGAGAGGAAGAGAGAGGGATAGAGATTCAGAAACATCGGTGAGAGAGAAACATCAATCAGCTGCCTCTTGCACACCCCCTACTGGAGACGTGCCCACAACCAAGATACATGCCCCCAACCGGAATAGAACCTGGGACCTTTCAGTCTGCAGGCCAACTCTCTATCCACTGAGCCAAACCAGTTTTGGCTCCTTCTTCTTCTTGTTACTGAATCCTTTAAGCCTCCCTCCCCAGCTGCTTCCTCCTACAGGCTGGCCATGGCAGAGTAAATCTGCTGGGATTGGCGTTTGTTGGTGGTTGTGTTCTCTGTCTCGGAGTACTGCTGAAGGCACGGGTCATGTGAGGAAGGTAACGGTACATGTGCCTGGGGAGTCATTGAGAAGAACAAGCACGTACTGGCCTCGATCCTGCGGACACTCTGGAAATGGAGAAGGGGAGGAAGGAGAGAAGAAACAGAGAGAGGGCACAGGATGGAGTGGGGAGTCTGCCAAGCCTGGGGGGTCACATTCATGAATGGGGTGGAGTGGCGTGGAGTGGGGGCTCATGTGAGGACGAGATCATGAATGGCTGTCCCAGAACACCCACATGAAGGCTATTAATAGAGCTGTCACCCAAGGGGACACTCCGTGCCCGGGGAGGCTCAGGCCTGGGCAGGGCCAGGCCCTCTGACAGCCCCACCACCGGAAACGCAGGCGGCGTTGGCAAGGCACCGATGCCCTCTGGCTGGCTCTGGTTCCCTGGCATGAGTGTCCAGTGATGTCCATCATCCCCACGCAGGCTCGGAGTCCCAGGCCCTCCCACGCAAGCTCCGGCCTCCTGGACATGGGTGGGAGCCTGGAGCTGTGTCCCCACCTAAAATGCTGTGTCGGTCGAGAACGGTTTGGCTCAATGGATAGTGTTGGCTTGGGGACTGAAGGGTCCCAGGTTCAATTCCGGTCAAGGACATGTACCTTGGTTGTGGGCATATCCCCAGTAGGGGGTATGCAAGAGGCAGCTGATCGATGACTCTCTCTCATCGATGTTTCTAACTCTCTATCTCTCTCCCTTCCTCTATGTAAAAAATCAATAAAATATATTTTAAAAAAATAAAGAAAGAAAGAAAGAAAGAAAGAAAGAAAGAAAGAAAGAAAGAAAGAAAGAAAGAAAGGAAGGAAGGAAGGAAGGAAGGAAGGAAGAAAGAAAATGCTGTGTCAAGCAGTGTGAGGGGCAGAGACTGTAGACAGGCATGACAGGAGAATCCTAAAGGGTGGAACGATGTTCCCCAAAATGCATGAATCCTACTGGGTGGAACAATGTTCCCCAAAATGCATGGCCACCCAGCATTTCAGAATGTGACCCTACCAAGAAACGGGATCTTTACAGACTCTTTAGTGTTAGGGTCGCCAAAGGAGGATCACAGGAGGCCCAAAGGGGTCCGGATTCTAAATGCATTAGACCATCTGCAGGCCAGATGGGCTGTGCCCCCAAATGGCGCCAGCACCCAGGGACGGGGAGGCAGAGTCTGAAAGCACTCCAGGCGGCCGGGCTTTCTCAGCAGGGTTTCTCTGGGTGGGTCCAGATCCTGGGGAAGCCTGGAGGGGAAGGTTAATGGTTTTAGCAAGTGGGATGTGGGCTAAGCCAGTGGTCGGCATACTCATTAGTCAACGGAGCCAAATATCAACAGCACAACGATTGAAATTTCTTTGGAGAGCCAAATTTTTTTAAACAAACTTCTTCTAACGCCACTTCTTCAAAACAGACTCGCCCAGGCCGTGGTATTTTGTGGGAGAACCACCACACTCAAGGGGCCAAAGAGCCGCATGTGGCTCTCGAGCCGCAGTTTGCAGACCACGGGTCTAAGCGAAAGGCAATATCAGTTGTGAAATGGTCTAAAGGTCAGTTCCCAGGAGAAGGGGTATCGATTCAATTATTTGATCAGACCTAACAATCAGGATGAGTCTTACTGAATTAGGGGGGGGCCCTAAATCCAGTGTGACTGGAGTTCTTCTAAGAAGAGGAGAGACACACACACAGAC